TTGTCAAACAGTCATCAATAAAATTTTCGACAATACAATATCGGGAATAAAAAGAAAATTAAGTAGTGTAAAAAAAATATTTTTTTACTAGTTTATAGGTAAAAGTTGTTGTTGTATACTTTGTAGTCGACAGTACTTATTAAATTAAAAAACTTATCCTAATTATCACATGATTGTATTACAAATATTTCTTAGAATTATTTTATTTAAATTACCCATTGCATCAAATATTAATTTATGAGCGTGTAACACTGTGAACGAATGAAAATCTAAACTTCAATTTGGTATACGGGATCTGTATAATGTTGGTGAATTTCATTTAAAGTAAAACGAGATCAACGTCGTTCTTTTTTTCGAGTTCACGCTGAACTCCGTTTCCTTGAACGTGTTTATGCTACGATTGGGAAAATCCGACCTAAGATGTCATGCCTCGTATCCTGTAGTTTCACTGCCTAAACTGCACCTTACAATACAGAAATACAGGTTACAAAGCAAGCTGTTTGATGGCTGAAATAGGTGAGACAAAACTTTTTACAGTCTACTATCTGGTAAAACAATTAAAAAAGTGACAACCCTAAACAGCTTCATTGTTTCTACATGTAATATTACTACTTTTACGGTAATTGTCAATCGTCGTTATGAGGTCGCGAGATAAACTCTCCCATGTTACGACCTTACGGTGCGTAATACTTATTTATTAAGACGTGATATAAATATCGGTAATTGAGTTAAGTGGGTCAATATATTAATAACTGTATATATAGTTAAATATCGTCTAATTAACATTACCACAGTTTTTTTAAGAGCAATACTACAGTTAGCTGTCTCTAACATCTTCGTGTACGTTACATAAGAAATAAAGAGGTTTGAGTATTCACACTATTCAAATATTCCTTTACACTGAACGATCAAATGGTGTTTACGACTGTAAAAGGCGGAGTTTACCAGCATGGCGTAATATTACAAGGCGTCGATAAAAAACGATATTAAAATACATAATTATCAAATATCTATAATAGTTGCTGAGATTAGCGCGTTCAAACAAAATTCTCTTATACTTATAAACAAACCGTAATAATATGGGTGCAGAAAATATTGTTAAGTTTAAACTATTATCCAAACAAAAAAGGTAATAAATTCGTATGTATGTCTGACCATTCGTTATCTTTTCACCACTAAATGAATTGCTTAATAAATTTGAAGATAAAATGAAAGATGACTAGTTCCTATAAATAACAGTCCGTTACCCCAGCTATAATAATAAAAAACTCTTTATTATGTACATAGAGAATATAACAAAAAATACAGAAAATAGAAAAGTAATAGAAAAAGATCTTATCGCTATAATAAATGTCTACTAATATACTAACTATATGTGGAGTAAAGTTTATTCAAATCCTTACAAACATTTAATCAGAATTGAAACATCAAAATACATTCCAAAACTTTCACTTTTCTATAATATTAGAAAGACCATTAAAATAATTGCTTCTTCAAACTCTGATATAAAATCCCATAGATAATCTCCCATGGATTCCTTAAGTAGATTAGCTTCAGTGAGATGTTAAAACGAATACGGTAAGATCGTTATATATAAATTTATGGTTTATACAAGTGACAAGAAATTTTATGTAAAATAAGTAGGCGCTATAAACTTGAAGGCTATACTTTCCCCTGACGAAAGAAAGACTCCTGCGCAGGGTTAATGACCGCAGAACCTGCTTATCGCCGAATCCTGATTTAACTTGCAATCGATTAAGTTATTAAATGTACAAGTATAAAATTCAGCACATACCGTCACGACTATTATGACAGGTGAGGTAGGCAGAGGTATTGTCGACTGTGGATGTTGTGAACGCAACAGTTTTTTAAAGTATAAAATTATTGATTAACATAATATGAGAAATTAAATAAAGAAGACAGAGCCAAATATGTAGAAAAATATATTTAAAAAAGAAAGAAGATAAGATTAAAGCTATTCAAGATTTACGTAAAATTTTACGTAATTTTTATTTATTTATTATTACTAGCTTTTGCGAGCAATTTGAATACTCTACCTATACAGTATGTAAGGTATCAAGAATTAACAAAATTAAAATATTTAAATAAATGTTTCCTTATTTTATTTGAAATTTCATAATATGTATAATAATACAAAACCAAGGTTAGCTCAAGTGAAATAATATTAGCCGATAAGACCGCTTTTGTGCTTACTTTTATTTTAATCTTTTACTTTCGATCGTTTCCTTTTAATGCAATGTTATGAATAGAAACATATTTGTATATTTCAATAGGTGTAAGAATTTTTACAACAAAGTATTTCAGGCCTGCCAACATGATAGTATAAAAAAAAGAATCCAACAAATAATTCAACTACTTCGCTCAAATTATATATATACAGTCTATAAATATTCTATATAAAATATTATACAATCTAGATATATATCTTGAATTTGGAATAACGAATTTTTTATACTCACTAAAATATGAATGACAAACGTGTGTGCAAATGTTTTTTTTTACTACAACATTGTAAACTAATCTGTACGATCACGGAAATACCACAGAGTAATAATAATAAAAGAATGCGCGCCTTTCTTGGTGTGACAACGAAATCGGTCCACGGTGGGTCGTCCGGCCCGTTCATTTCACTGACCCACATTCGGGACGGTCGGCCCGCGGTAAACAAACGACACTGCCTCACGTTTAATCAAAGAACAAATGTTTAATTAGAAGCAGCCTGGAAACAAGATAAAAGGACAACTACTCAGAACTTTTAATTATTTTTTAACGCGTATTTAATAGCCATATCGTTTGTACAAGCTCTACATATCACTTAAAGCACCTAATGATTTCCTATACAGTGCTTAGTACAGAAAATCTTTAAGTTACTTTCACGATCGCGGCGTGCTCAATTATATATCTATTAAAAAATATATGTTTACGAATAACCAACAGGTACCCACTTTAATTATATCACATAAGATATAGGGGCATTGCTGGACCAATATGTAGTTGGAAAGCATTGGACAGAGAAACATGAAGTTTATTTCTATAACTTTGGATAAGCTGATGAACCGAGACAGTCAAATAGTAATAAGCAAGAACAAAATTAACTGCACTATCAGAATAAATGCTACAAATAATCAAAAAATAAAAAACCCGTAGCTTCGTCTGCTTTTTTTTGTCATAGCAATATAATCTGCCTTCATGTTAAGATCTATTCAACCGTTTAGCTGTTTAAAGGTAATATACAGACAGACTTTCTCATTACTGACTTTATAATATTGATACAAGACTAGCCAGGCATTCCAGCATTATACAAGAGTTCAGTTACGGTTGTAATCTATTTTTCTTTACTCGCTAATAATGTAGATTTCTGCAGGAGAAAACATTTTCCAAACCGACCTAGGTATTTCTTTTTTTTATATACAAAAGTCTTTATAATATTAGTAGTATATTGTAGAAAAAGTGTACTGGAACGAAAAGATTAAGAAAGAATAAGTTTCTTATCAAATTATCAGTGAAATAAAACATTTCATGACCTAGCTTCGATAATTTTTTGATAGCTAACAAAAACTTTTAACTAAATCTAAATATTATTTTTAATACAAACGGCTACGAGGCAGAAATTTCTTTTTATGAATAGTCAAAGAAACTGACATCCCATCTGATAGTTAATGGCAGTCGCCTATACATATGAACAGTTCTACGGAGATCAAGTCCTAAAATCTCGCCTGTGGCACTCTTTGTGACAGACAACTGTATTTAAATGGTTTAAAGTGAGACACGTTCCTTGAAGAATTTAGCTTCTAAGAAAAACGTAATACAAAGAATGGCATTAAAAAAACAATCGCTTTAAAGGAATAGAACGTATATCAAATGCAATAAAAATTTTCAAAAAAAAACTTAACATACAAAAATCAAAGAGGTTACCTTCGGCAACACTCCTCATACTTTGCTAGACTGGAGTTCTCTATTCCATTATCTTATCCTTTATTGTATTACAGATGTATATTATCCTTTCCCTATAATTTTACTGTATTTAAACTGAAACAGTTTACAAAGTAAGGAGCTTAGTGGTTAAAATAGGTTAGACATAAGACCCCTATAGATACTTTGTACGTAGTATACGACGGCGAAACATTTTATATAATTAGATATTTATTTACTTATTTATTCATCCGAAAATCAAATTGTGTAGGCTAAAACATAATAGTAACTTAAAAAGTAAATTTTGTAATGACCAATCGTAGTGCTATAGATAGACTGTTGTCTTTATGGTTTACATTGTAATAATCTACAGAATACTAACATTTAACCAATAAAGATATCTTTAATCTAGTTTAAAACAAGATATTTAGTATTTAAAAATATTCTGTAGTAATAAGCTTTGGTTTAGGATAGTATTTAATAATGTAAATAATATATAAATGTGCCTTATCGGAGAGATAGATAGTAGATATAATTTTACATAGAGTCGATTGAAGTAGATACCGATTTTAACTGGCTACAGTTTTTTATATTTTGCTCAATATGGAATTTACTTTGCGGGTAAGCGTTTACTATAAAATAAGTATTAAAACCCCTTTTCGTTTTCGACTTATAAACAAGTTGCTTTTATTTCTTGCGTACGCAGTAGGAAGAGCAACAACCTATGATTGCAGGGCCGTTATCCCGATCGCCTCGCCTCAGCTATGATAACTATGAAAAAACCGTCTTTCAACAAACCATTGCTTTTTTTAATGAAACAACTCGTTATTGCAACAATTCTTTTTGTAACGTTAAAAATAAACGGTCTGTTTAAGGAAAACAACTTGAATTAACTTGTACAGACATACAAAAATACAATTTGATATAACTGATAATATAGTTAGAAAACTTATTAGTATTTTAAACGATGCGTTACATTTTAAATAGCGCCATTTTTATGGCGCCCGCCAAATTTATAATAAGGGTCATTACACACAACGGTGTATTGAAATCAATTTTATATTCACCTGTTTAACGGACACCAAGACGACTCACAATCACAGCGAACTCATTATCCATCGGCACTGAGGATTTAACAGTTATTCGTACTAAAAGTCGATGATTAACAAGTTTAGATAACAAATTACAAATATGTACTGCAAACGTTTTATTTTTTTTAACAAAATTATTATTTATTATCTGCGACCTGTTTTTGACGTTTACGGGAGCGCGCGCTTTTTTTGGGCAACTTTTTTTTTAATTTATAAAGGCACGGTCGTTCGCCGCGGAGCCTTGACCGCTACGCGACTGCGGCCTTACTGAGCGAAGTATCTTGGTAGGTGCAAGCGAGCTCGGCAAGCAATGTAAATTACTTTCCAACAGTTACTTTTTCGCTTCGCTGCACTGATTCCGGTCGTTTTTGTTTTTTAATGCAGCTTTGGCATGCAGAAGGAAAGCTTTAGATAAGTCGCTGATAAGAAAACCAAGAGTTGCGGTTGCCTTTTTTTATTGACTTGCGTATCTGACCTAAAATCCCAAATTTCTGACATTGTTTTCAAATATTTGTTGATTTTAACAGTAGCTTCATTATTTTTTGTTTAAAAGATTTTACTCTTCGAAACTGCAACGCATAAGAGATATTACGGGCGTCCACTTGGTCACGTGATGTCCGTGATACTCTTCATGTATTTTCAATCACATTATAAGATATGTCATATTTACCTCCACGCAATCTACTTGGAAACTACCGCAGACGGGAGCACATTTTTTTAATGTAGGTAATGGCATACAAGCTTACAATGGAGGTAAGGCGATTGTTAGTAATGCGGATTAATAATTTCATTGCTAGAAATGTACCATGTCAAGTTAACCTCCGCGCGATTTCCCCTAGAAACCATCGTGATAAATTCCTGGTGAATTTGCTACAATGACCTATTGACACATCTTATCGTTCTCTACTGGTGCCCCTCCAGCGTATACCGTTAGCGCAGGTGGGTAAACCATACCATTATCATCCATTAAAAAAAACAAACTTACAGTCCAGCTGATGATAAGTTATCACCAACGTCACCGTACAACTATATAAATGAACAGGCACTACGGATATTACATTAACAAGAGACGGCCGATGGTACCATCAATGCGTTGCCATTCCGGAGAACTGCCACTAGTTTTACAATATATTGTGATCGGTGGTGCTGTTCATGTCTACATATGATGATGATGCTAACTGCACTGGATGCTATTAGCATCTTAGAGATTTCCGAACATAATTCATTGATAATTTAAAAGCCACGCTCTTATCGGTGGAGCTCTTGCCACTTTCCATGATCTTCCATCATGCTCTTTAAATGTTGATACGACACGACTCCAATTTTGCTTTAATTTGCTTGATGTTGCTGTGCCTTGGTCTTTCCTCCCACTCCATTCCTCTATTATTCCCTCAATAACATTTTTCATAAATTCTTCGTGCCGTATAAAGTGTCTTAACATATTCCCTTGTCTAGTTTCTATTGTATTCAATATCTGCCATTTTTGTTTCACTCTGTGTGTCTGAACATAAATTTGATAGAAAATTCCTTTTCAGTTTCGTTTTGTATTTAAACTTATTACAAAGAACAAGTAAATATACTGGTATTATTAAATTAATTATCAGGTGTATTGGGTAGAATTACGGATATCTCAGTTAATTATTGTAATGGATTTTAAAAAAAATGTAATCGTGTATAAATGAAACTAATTTGCTATTGTATATTATTAAAAAAATCAATTACAATAAAAAAACGTAAGAAGAACACTGATAGGAACATTTAAAAATACAGGACGGCCTCGTTGTTTAGCGGTTTAGTACCGCCGTACTTCTGTTGATCGCGGGTTCAGTTCCTCGCACGGTACCAGCATTTGTTTTAATGAATATGATACTTTGTATTGGTCGGAGTGTTTTCTATGAATTAAACATACAATATATATATTTAAAAAAAGGTCTATGCATTTATAAAAGTTGTCTAGTACTCATAATACAAGCTCTGCTTACCGTAAGACTAGCGCTGAATTAATAGTCCTGAGATATAACTTTAAAAAAGTATAAACATAGAGGTTCAATATTCAGCAGCCCACGAGTTCTGACGGAGCTTTTATCGAACTCTTTCAATGCTGTTGATTGTCGTAGCTGGATTTACAGTTTGACCTGCCGAAAAAGAGCGTGGGTTGCGTGCAAAAATCCACACTTACTAATATTATAAATTCGGAAAATGTGTCTCTGTGTATATTTGTCACAGCTAAACGGTTGAAGGAATCCAAATTATTTTTAATATTAAGATAAATTGTATTACGAGGAAAATTGGCTACCTTAATTTTATTTTAAATTATATATTCTAAAAAAGAGCAGACGAGATCGCTGTAAAGTCATCGTAATTTGGCAATGTCAGAGAAAATAGTAACCGTATTAAAAATGTCCAATTACATAATAAAAATATTACGTACATAATTTCGCTGACACTGCGCTGACTCCAATGCACAAATATTATGAAATTTTTATAATGCTTCGATATCGAAAACAAAGAGGTCAGCACAATCAGAGCAGGTCATTTAGTTTTTAATTTAATTTAATTTATACATTTTTAAATATCACGTTTACATACAATAATATCGTTATATAATGTCTATTAAATAAATATATATATGTATATATAGGTATATAGTGTATAAGACACTAGAAAGTATGTACTCGTATGTATGTATAATATATGTATACTAGCTGACCGCGCCAACGTTGTTTGTGCATATAAATTTAAATCGCTATAAAAAAATTGAGTTTGGTGTTATCACCAAAGTTGAAAATTTTTGTATGTATCTTTAATGCCAAATTATAAAAAAAAAATGACCAAAAAATAATAAAAAATAGCGGTTGAGAATCCGTATCACTTAGGTGTATGAAAAAAGATAATAGCCGATTCTCAGACCTACTGAATATGTAGAGTATGGTAACTAACATTGTGACACGAGAATTTTATATATATGAATCTTGCATTCTAGTGTTTTTTTTTATGGATTAATCTGAAATGTATACGCGGGCTCAGGTTACAAGACAAATATAATTAAATAATTTTAATTTAGTTGTATAATTATAAATTTTACTTATTGACTGAAATTCTCAAATGGCCTATACCTCTATATCTAGTCATAATAACTCAAAATGTTGTCCGCCCTGACCTACTTGTACCATCATACAGATCATTATTTATTGCACTCAATCTATACTCTTGATGTTATCTCGATTGCAATCTGCTATTGATGATCTATGGGTACCGGTAGATGGTTAATTTTCAATAATCTAAATATCCTAATTACGTAATAGCGAGTAGTTTTATCTATGTAGATTGTTTCCAAACAGAACTACTGAACGAAGTATTATTTAAAAAAAAGAGTATTTTTCAAATATATAAACGACGGAGTTCAGAGATATCTAAATAATGTAGAAAATACAACTGTTAATTATTTTTTCGGAATTTGATAGAAAAAGATGTATCTATACAATACCACATAGGTTTTAGAGGGTTTTTTACAGGGTTTCGGAGTCTCGTTCGTCCAAATATAATGTAAACCGTCTTATTTGTAATATAATATGATTATCTATATATTAAAGATGAACATAATACAGTGAGGAAAGATATCAGGTCAGTTGGCCCACCGTGGAAAATTTACAGGTTGATCGACCAGATCCAGATATACTGCAGGCAGAACCATTTTATGAAAATTAAAACCTAAAAAAAAAACGAAGCAGAAGCCAAAGTAAGTTTAATATAGTTGGAACAGTCCAACTTTGATGCTACGCTACAAAGGGGATTAATAGTAATGTGGACTGATGATCATATTGCTAGCTATATACCATGTCTGGTTGACCTCCACGCGGTTCCCCCTGGAAACCGTCGTAATATATTATTGGTAAATTTGTCAGGATGGGCTAACTGACTTGACCCTATGCTTATCTTCGACTGTTATCCCACCAGCACAAGCCGGTATTTTTTCATTAAAAAAAATTGGACACAGAGTGTCATAAAATTCTTGTGATACGATTACCATCGAGGTCGTCTCAATGTGTTTAGGATACGTATCAAAACAATCACATAATGTTTTTAGACTGCAGCTTTCGGTCTGATTACCGGTCAGGATATTGGTGTTCTGTGGGTCAGACTTAACTGTCAGAGTTACTGTCATTATATACTTGCTTTCTGTCAGTCCAATTATCAATAACGAACGTCAAAACTTAATTAAAAAAATACTTTCTTAAAAAATTATATTTTGTCAAAATTTACAAAAACTGTGTAGTTCGAAATAACTTTATTTTGTATATTACATACAATATACATATACTGTTAGAATTTATAGTAGAAATATAAAATAACGCCTTCGGTTACATGTAGGTTATTTTTTATTATTTATATATATACTTAAATGTAAACAATATTATTTACTCTAAGATTTATTAAAAATACACAATAAGATCAGAATCTTGCTTGTGATATGTATTATAACAGATATTCATTTATTTAATAAATTATTGTTCACACAGGGTGTCATAACCTTCAAAACTCATGCTCGATTTGCTACACATGCGAAAAAAAAATAAACATGGTGAAAAACATAAGGTAAGTACTCCCTACTATAATATAATTATTGGTACAACTGGGATTGTTTTTTTTTAATTGATGATAATGGAACTGAGTTGGTGAGAGTTGAAAGTGTTAATTTAAAGACATATTTTTAGTACAGAAAAGCCTAAACCTGTGAACTCAGTGTCGAAAATCTCAAAGAGAATTAAACAGAAGAAGAAAACAAAGGTGCCTGTATGTGAATCAGAAGATGTTAAGCAGCAAGTTCAGGAGGTTCCTGTTGATGAGACCAAACAACATGGTGGTATGCACTACATCTATTCAATTATATTCCACACTATAGGGTTCATACATAAATTATATCTTACGCATTATATGACATTGTCACATTCTAATTTTTTTAAATATGATTTATTAAAATATGTATTACACTGTAAATTACATTACTATGCTATCAATGTTGATTGTTCTATTGTAAATATTACTCATATTGTATTAAATATTATTTCCAGCTACACAGAAGATGGCTGTACCCAAGGTGATGTTTGAAGGTCTGACCAAGGAGGAGATAGCAGAGAAGTATCCAGTGCTGAATGATGAGAACCTTGTCCAAAGGTTCCTTAGTGTACCCATGAATAATAATCAGAAAGGTAAATATCCTTATACCTAATGTTTATTAGCAGGATGGACAATGTATACCTTTTCCACTTGACTTGGAATCTATATATATAAACAAAATTAGAGTGTCTGTTTGCAATATTGATATAACCGTTTTTTACTACATGCATATGAATATAAATATGGGTACATACACTAAAATATTTTTTACAATTTTCGTCTGTCTGTCGTCTGTTTGTTCTGGCTAATCTGTGAAATGGCTGGACTGATTTTGATGGAGCTTTTATTGGCAGGTAGCTGATGTAATAAGGAGTAACTTAGGCTACTTTTATTTTAGGAAAATAAAGTAAAATTCTACATGGACAAAGTCATGGGTGCAGCTAGTAGCAAATAACCTTAAGACCCATCAGTTAATAAGGTATTGGGGTAAACAATTATATTGGAGGGAAAAGGATTGTTAATAATGTGTAATATAGTAAACAACAATATTGTGTCCTTAAGTAAGCTTGTGCTTTTCTCTATATAATACAGGGTACAGTGGTACTCAAAAATGGCAATGCGTATATGTGCCATGGGCTTCTCTAAACGGTTTGGATGTCCATGAACCATATACATTTCTTACCACCATCGGCCTGATAGTTTATTTATCAATTTTAGATGTATAAAAAATAGCAATAAATAAATTCTGATCTTTTCTATATTTTTCAGGAAGAGTTCGGCAACTTCTACGGGACAAATTAAAAGATACCACAGACTCATTAGTGCCAGATGTAATCTACAGTAAAATACAACTCATACTCAAGAGTTCAGTCAACTTAACAGATACGGATTTGAGGAAAATACGCATACTGTACAATATGCTTAAAACTGCTGTACAGAATTGTAAACTGAATAAACCTAAACCTGTTGAAATAAGTTTGAAGAAGAAATTGGAAACTGACGATAAAGATAGTGAGAAGACAAATGTTGTAAAAGAGAAGGAACAATTAGTGAAGAAAGTCAAAGGGAAAAAACGTTATGTTGTATTTATAGGCAATTTACCATTGGATGTTGATAAGGAAAAGGTAATATATACACTATTGCTGACATACTGGCCACATATTTTTATAGTTCATATTTTTTTAAATTAAGAATTTTATTATTTATATACATATACAGAATAGTCTAATAAAAGTACTTTGACAGTGACAACAACATGTAACAAGTAATAAAAATGACACTAGTTACTATCTGTACTTGGGAGATTGTTGAAACTTTATCAACTCACATCAACATTTTGACAATCATTATTTTGAGTGGTATTCAACCACTCACAACAATGATTGTCAAAATGATTGCATGTGGTTTTAACTAATGTATTGTGGTAAGCTTCACTTAAAATTTTGTGTATATTTTATTTCAATATGTATAGAAAGGAAATAGTAATAAACCAATATTATTCTGTATATCACAAGGCAGTGTAACATCAGGTGGCCAAAATTACTTTATTCCAATTACCTAAAAATTGTAATTGTATGTTTTGTTTAACAGATTAGAAAACATTTCGCCGAGTTAAGCGATCACATCGCAGATGTTCGGATCCCCAAGCTTAGTGAGGGGAAGAAAAGCGCCATTGCTTACATTGAGCTGAAGAACGAACCAACATATGAGGTTAGTAGATTATCTATAGTCAGTTCTGTAAAGAAACAGTATACTAATAATAAATGTGCACAATTCACAGTGCCATCTAGACAACTAATATAAATACTTACCCAGTCACCCAGCCAAACAATAATACTCAAGATTTCAAATGTTTCGAAAAATCGAATCTACTACCATCGGAAGTAAGGCAGTGTGGTAAGCTGCTAAACCACCAAGGCCATCAATTATTTCTTTGTTTGTAACACATTATTTTGAGTGAGTAACAGTGGCTGTACCCTATATGTATTTTATCATTAAACTAGCTGATCTGCACACTTCGTCTGCGTATTCATATGTAATTGCGAACGTACTGTTTCAGTTGGCGTTATCTAAACATCACTCTATGTTAGGCACCAAGAGGATCAACGTACTCTATACCACGCAGAAGGATAGCAAAATCACTAAAGCCGAAGCTAAGGTATGTTCTGTTATGAAGTCCCAAAACCTACAAAAGAAGTTTAATTCTAATTGTTGGCAATAGATGGCGCTATATTAATCTTAAGTTCCTATAAATGCAGAACAGCATGGTGCATATATATTGATTTTGATAGAGAAAGGTACTTTATAAACTAAAACCTTTATTGCTACCTTATTTTATCGCAGTTAGGTTTTTTACTAATATATGTTGTTATATATTATGAATCTATTATGAATTTTCCATACTATAAACTGGATTTTTGTTATGGATAATATTGCACCCATCTTTGTTAATGGTATGAGGCGGGGCACGATCAGGAGGGGGCGGGGGGACCGCGTAGACGTCGAGCTGATGTATCCAGGTCTTTTGCTGTCAATGGGGTACTAGACTAGTTTCTATTGCTAACAATCCCCTTCTCCAATATAAGGTAGATTTAGACGAACATTGAGTGATACGTCCGTTTTAAAGTGATCTACTATAAGTACAAACTTATATTGTTTATTTACAGAGCAAGTCAGCCAAGTTAGTAGCTCTGCAAAAGTCCGGCAAACTAATCGGCAGCGTGCCACTCAAGAGGAAACGCAGCCACCGGCGAATGAAGATGAAACAGGCGAGAGCTAAAGAGATGCAGAATAAATAATGTGTAATATATAAAATAAAAACAGTGCTGTAGTTTCATTTCCGACTATTTTATGATTAACCATTACGGTACCAGTAAGCTTCCACGCTTCTAGAGTATTTTCATGATATATTACCTGATTTCATGACTATAGGTCGCTTACGGACGAGACAGACACGTTCCATAATTCATCTGTAAAATTTTATCTCACGTCATCCGCCACTCGCAATATACAGCTCCATTCTATATAAAACTCTATCAGTTTATATAATCTTTCTTTTAATGCACTTATTATTTGTTGAGGAACTATTTTATTAAATATCAAACTGCCGATCCCACATTTTACTGGCTATTTCAGTAGTCTCGTTCAGTTTATAAGGCTACATATACACAAAGAATGATAAAAAAAAATTAATCTACGAATTTTTATCCAATCGGTAAATTCATTATAATTACTTCTATTGTCCGATTCTCTAGATCTAGACCGTACATAAGATAGAATATTTCTCATGTTATTTCAGAAAATATACATTTAAACATTCATACATTATATTCAATGATTGTCACATCATATTTGGTTGTTTTTCCTTATATATATTATACTGTAAAGTAGAAGGTAACGTCGCTACCTGATCGCGGTAATAGGTAATGGCCTCTCGTTTGCCAAACGTTATAATTGAAATGATGAGCAATGACGGATCCAGGTCTGCGGTGCTCTTGTTCTGCAAGGCCGTAATGAAGAGGAAACGGAAAGGGAGTGCGAAATTTCTTCTGCTGATCCGATCCGGCAAAGGTCTATATCCACTCCCTCAGCCAGGGCCAGGGTCGGGTACGCGGGTGCCCACGTGCCTCCCATTTGTAGCAATGTAAAAAATGAAGTCCGTCCGTTATGCATATAGACGGACCTACGGACGGACGTATTCCCGTAACCCTGACAACAGATAAAGAGAAGGAACACCTTGGGGCTTTTAGCCGGTAAGAGTCCGGCAAACTAGTTTACGGGAGGTAAGGCTCTATGAGGATTTTCCCTAAATAAAGTAAAGTAGAAGGTAGACCTGGTTTTTTTTTTACTGCATTAGCAGTAAACGAGAGCCTATATATATATTGCTTGTAGAAAATAAAACAAAATGGAAGTGCTTCAAAAATTATTTATTTATTCGTATATATAATTTATATATCCATTTTATAGTTAAAATCAACCGTTGCACACAACATAAACATCTTATATATAGTACTGTCTGCATGCTTGCGACGGGGACGAATCGAACACCATCCGCCGAGTATACAAACATAGTTCTTATACACTGGCAGTAGGGTTCACACTCACTTGGCCAAGATTATGTGAATTAAAATATCTAGGTAAGCAATAATTTAATAAAAAAAAAATACAGACACGGGAGATGTTAATTAAAAATTAATACTTTCATACATAAAAAATACTTGGGAGTGAAATTAGTAATAATGTTGTGCTGTTGTATATTTAATATAACAATGTTTTTTAAATAAAACTTATAAAAAACGATACGAGAATAATGACTAATAGTTTACTAGGTACATATAAAAAGAAAATTATATTTTTCCTTAACATATAAAAAATTAAGTGTCACTAATTCAAGTAGATAAGTGTATCCGAATATATGTATATATACATCGCACATTTACTACATTAACGCAAAATTAACAAATATTTGAAAATAAACTTTAAAATTAAAGCTTTAGAGTAAATTTCTCAAAAATTGACAGTTTTGAATTAATGCAGTATATTACATATATTCACTTTAAAATCAACTGTCAACAACATAAGTACACAGTAATATGTCGTCAATTTATTGGAGAATAAATAATTGATGATAATAAATAAAATAATAAAAAAAAAAATAGGTCAAAAACACGTTCAACATATTCGTACAAATCACTTTGTAACGACACTGCCAATCAGAAGAAAAATATATATTTAGAATTATTAAAATATACGTATCTCTTTCAAAGAGAAGGCGAAAAAGATGAAATTTACTTTTATTGCTTCTTATACATTCAGTGAAAGCGTTTCGTATCTTTCATTCATTCGTATGATAGCGATATTTACAGGGCACTGTAAATTATGTCATTATTTAAAAAAATATTAAGTGTAGTCTTGCACTGGATTGGCACGAGTTAATTATAGTACTTCTCTACTCTTACTTGTTTTTAAAAACATATAATAAAGTATCATCTCTATTCGCTGAAAATGAGCTTTGTATAGATGAAAGAATTATTAAAATTTTAATTATTACAATAAAGTGCATGTTTACCCATTTTAAAAAGGATTATTAAAATTATCACGTTTTAAATTTGAAAAAAAAAAATCTTTAATGTTTATAATGATTACTTAAAATACCAGTTATTAAAAATATATTCAACAACAATAAGTTGAACAAAAAAATATTGTTTTTTATTCACAATTACAAAAGCAAGTAAACCACAATGTCATACAACACCGTCCTTTGATTGGCAGTATTACAAGAATTTAAAACTAAAACTCCTATTGAATAATTTGTGCCGTATGTATGTCCATAGACCATTCACATATCAGCCGGTCTACTCTAGAAGTTAATTGTGACCTATTGTTTGTTAATAATTCCAAACTAATTAAAGAGCTAACTAATATTATTATGGATTAATTCAATTTACATTTAATTACGTTTCAAAGTACTGTACTAAAAAATATTGGATTTAAAACAATATTGTGATTAAATTACAGAGTAGACCTGCAGTTACTATTTCAAGTTTTAGAAAGTTAAGAAATTAAAATAGAGTAGTCAATCTTTAATATTTTTAGATTTATTTCTTTTAAACTTTTTTCATATAAAGACTCAGAAATTTGAGAAATTATATAAATAAACACTTCGTCAATGATATGTGAAAGCAGACTAAAGGAGAAGGGATAAAGTCATTCAAGTATCTTCAACTTAAATATGACGTCACGAAATACTAATTTAAAAAAATGCGATAATTTAATAGCGATTAAACAGCGGCATTGGGGTGTTCTAGGATTACAAGATATTTTGCTTACGGCCTCCTTTCCCATTTATTATGAATGAATGTATCGCAATCATTCTATATTTTTTATTAATAAGAGTCATAATATTTTAGTTTTATACATAGAGATTTTACAATGGGAAGTACCAACAGGTCCAGATAAAGTTTTATAGAATAGTAAAAAAAATAGGACATGCAACTTTGGAAGAATGAATGACAATCTAATTTACAAACTCAATATTTCAAGAGTTAACACAAGTGTGTATAAAGTAACTTTATTTCCCATCTCTTTCTGTCATGTCATAATCTTTATTTGAATAACTCCTTCTCTAATACCTTTTCTGATATGCACTTTATACCTATAGAAATAGAAATTAATATCGAACGAAATGGAAGTTGGTTTTGTCTCAATTATATTTGTTGAAAGACATAGAATTAAGAAAAATGTTCCTAACCATTCCAATCATGATATATCATCCCATTGTAAATTCTCTAAAGTTACATAATAATTAAAATCGGAACGACATTCCTCGATATATATTTATAGACCTTTCACTTTAAATAAAATATAAATAGACAATACAGTAATTAAAATGGAAAATAATAGAATTTTAATATCGGATCCATCACAGCCGATGATTGCGATCGAGAAATGTCGTACCCAGTAAACGGGTCACAGTAAATGCCGTAGACGCTAGTGCCGACGCCGGCACCGGCCGGCACACCTACACATCACTATGCACCTACCATTATTCGCATCTATAGAGAAAAACATCATTTATATGTATATAGACTATTTTTTATTTTTTTTACACATCCAATACATTTACAAGAAGTCACTCTACTATAACTGGCCACGGAAAGAGTATTCGAAATTCGAAAATTAAATCGATTACACTATTATTTTCGACCATCAATAAATATAATGAATTTATTAAAAATACTGCTTCGTTGCTACGCGCAAATTATTATAAAAATAATATTCGAAAATGACATTCAATAATTCTACATCGCCTATACTTAAAAATAGATCTTGCCCTAATACTTTTAGTGTCTAAAGTTAATACTATCTATGTACAGTGACCTACACAATTAAATACACTCACCATTAATATGTGTGCGTTGCTCACATTTTCTTTTTTTGCTACAAAAGTCCAGAATTTTTACACGAGATTCCTAATTTACAATTTCGTTTCATCTCCAATATGACCTAATGGGTCGTATGTCCAATTCTTGATGGAATGTTAGTGGTATTTTTGTAATCAAAATATTATGTGGAATGAATTTTTGAATGGAAATCATAATTTATTATTATGAATGTACACTCAGATATTATAGTAAAATATTAAAATACACTTGGGAATATATTACTGCTGATTTCAATTTGAGATTAAAATCCTTAAGATATGTACATCTAATTAATTAATTTAATGTTCACATCAAGCTATATGACGGAATTAGATCGAAATATACAAGTTTTTTTTCTTTCAGTAACAGTTCAGCTGATTGCGAGTGTTAACCGTCACCTGAACAGAACCATTTCAACAGCGTCATGGACATCACATGATCATGTGCAGCCTGAGTTGTTATTCCGGAGCTCTAAGATATCCTGTCTCCTTTTAATTGCACTGCAATAGGTGAGATTGAGGTACACATGCAACATGAATACTAAAAAGGAAGTTAGTAAGTGATACCTACAAAAAAAAAAGACTGATGTAATCTAAACACTCTGGTACATATTAAGTAGCAAGTGGGATGTCTTTGCGTGTAGATTTCGCATGCATTATGGTATGTTAACAAAAAGGTAGTGAAATTAATGTTTACCCACTTATAATACGGGCCTAAGTAATAAATTATTATTAGTATTAATTTATAATATTACTGTCATTAAAAAAAAACATTATTGTTGGATAACTAGAATCTGTATGGAATAAATATATTTGAATCAGCAAACATAAAATGCCTACTCGTTAATTTATAAAAAAATCCATCTATGTCAATAAATAAAAAAATAGTAAATATATAGCTACAAACAATAGCTGCACAGACAAATATTGCAAATCCCAAATGTATTTTATGATTGATCAATATAGAATACAATAACGCGAGATCATATTCAACTAACATATATGATTGATATTCTTGCATTTTCATATATCTCTTGATAACGTTTGAAAGACGGCGATTTATTTAAAATATACCTTAAACTGATTATATCAGATCATAAATATGTTTAAGAATTTCCACCAATTACGCAACTAAAACATGCATTGTTCCGTCAGTCTCGACAACATTTTTACATTGATGGAAACACAATTTTATAACTGGACTAAAATTGGCATTTATTTTTAATTTTTTAAGGTTCCCCTAAAACAATATTATATATTGTTTTTCACGAATTGAATATTACATTATGGGACTTCCTGTATGTTCTTTCCAGAATCCCATAGAAGCTCATCAAGTCATGGTATTTGAATGTCAAAAAAAAAGATGTACAGTCACGTACAAGAATCTATAAATATTTTTATGCTATTGCATTATATTATATTATTTATAAAACTTACATATTTCAATCAACTTATATATCATTTTTAAAACTATGTACGAGAATCTAATGTAGTAATGTATTTTTTAGTTTTAGTTTATTAGTAAGTAATGTATTTTTTTCTGCTCATATGTTTCGCACTGAATGCGAGGCGAGACGCTGTAATGTATGCGTAGCGCTCTAAAGCAAACCCGAATATGTCGAACAAATGTCGGGAAACTCAAAAACACAATACTTTCATTAAATTTTAATATACAGTTATAAAAACATATTATTAATTTAAATAAATATATAATATATACATTTCCCAATGTCGTTTTTTATTGTATTCTGAAATAAAACATATTTCACTGTATGTACAATACTTAATAAAATATAAAATACACTAATATCATATTATTTACTCGTTAGTATATTTATTTTTTGAGATACAATTAGATCGTTATTTTAGTATACTTGTATGTGACTGTACATCGAATGAACAAATAAAAATGTTACTATACACATCCGATTTTCAACCTTATTGAAAGAATAAATAAGTCACTCCTACTCCACTATTAAAAATGCGTATCCACTCTTATTCAGTCTTACATTACCAATATCCAGATGATTCCATTTAATTTGATAATACTCCGATAAATGTCATCACTAGATCGAGAATTCAGTCGAAAAACTACGCAATAAATACGACGTCAACTCTGTCAGTCCTTTGCTAATGTATCGAGTGACAGCATTACTACTTTTCACTCCGACAATTGTCTGGACTGAGATAAGTCCATTGACGTATCTCAGTCCAGTGAATATTTATTATAATATTTATATAATATAGACATATATGGTATATATAAAACTACTTATTATAATAAATATTCACTTATATAGTCAATACGTAGAATGGGCGACTCACTCTCAGGTGATTATTATAAGTTCCCACTGTATAAGTTCTCAAACCATTCATTAACGAGGAGTTGGTATCTCTCTGGCCGACAATCTTCAGTTTATTGATATTTTACTACAATTTTTCGCTAACACTGTGAATCTATAGTACGTTGATAAACTTGTATCTTTACATAGTAGAAAATGAAGTAGCTTCCGCTGTCTGTTCACTTAGATCTTTTAAACTACGCAACAGAGTTTATTGCATTTTTAGCAATAGATAGTGGGATTCAAGAGGAAGGCTTATATGTACAATACATGTAGTTAGTACTATAATAAATATTTAATTCAGTTGCTAATACGTTAGCTTCACGGTATCGACCGACTGCATTTTATATAATTTTTTTGCTCCAACCGATAATCGTCCGCTAACGCGCGGACTAACAAGTCCGTAGACCATATTTTCACTCAATCCGATAGTCATCAACTGCCAATCTGTTAGTAGGTAGAACATACTCATGATTTACCCACTGACAGACTGACATGTATACTGATACAACCCGTATTAACACAAATAATAGTCAAGGCAAAAACGGAGCGTAAACGGGCTGCATTTTACTCCAAATTTTCATTGTAACGTCAAATACGTTGTCAGTCAGTAGACTGACAGTAATAATCATCACTCCAACAGTCAAAGCAATGACGGGTCGACTTATGTATTGTACAAGTGTTCACTCAGTCCGACTGTCGTCAGTGCTTTGACAGTGCATCAGTCAGGCCTGCGCCCATCTGTCTTCAAAGAACTGCCGCATGGAGTGGCCGGCGCGGCCAACCGGACTGTCATCGTCGTTGAATACCTCACAATTGGTGAACACCAGCCGTACGTCGGACGCGAACTCTTCTTTGCACTTATAGCTGTGTAGAAATAATTATATGTATATTTATTTATTATAGGAAAACCATAGTATACACATGTTGACACAATTTAAAGACACTAAGCCACTGACCGACTTTCCTCTGATATATATTATATAATAATATATATCGAACAATTCACAAACCGCCATCTAGTCCCAAGCTAAGCAAAACTAGATTTATGGGTACCAGAGAACTGATATAAATACTCAAATACATTTTTTGTAAATACATACATAATATACACAGAAAAAACCCAAACCGATAAATACACACATATTTATAAATACAAATGTTTGCATCCTGCGAGGAATCGAACCCGTGAACTAGTCGGTGGTTAGCACTAGTAAAACTATGTGCTAACCACCGAGGCTGTCAACAATAATGGGCGAATATTACTTTACCTGCTATCCTGTAGCTTCCTCTTGATGGTGGAGAGATCCATGGGGCACTTGATCACCTTCTTGTACTGTGGGAACTGCTTGGTGTTGACAGGGATGAGGAACGGCCACGCGTGCTCGTGGCATTCCATTTCGCACAGAAGATTCCTGAAGAAGATGCGAAGAATCATTAAATTCTGTTTTTAAAACAATCAGAGGTGGACTAAAAACAATTCGACGCAGACGAATGAAAAGTCGTGTTTTTTATAATGTGACATTAAAAATACATAATATTTTTTAATGTATGTATTTTTAAACATAAATAAATAGAAAAAAATAATTTTGTCTAAAAAATAAAAAAAAATGTTAGAGGCGGACTAACCTTATCACTTAGCGATATGAAAAATAGATAGTGGCCGATTCTCATACTTACTGAAGCAAATAAATTTTCATAATAAAGTCGTTTCTGAGGAGTATGGTAACTAACATTGTGACAAGGATATCTATATATATTGGGCTCTTACTTGACTAACAAAGATTTATATTTCTACTTACTTGCATATCTGCATGTCCTTTTGCAATTTTTTGACTGGGTTCTTCTCTTTCTTCGCTCGCGAGACAAGTGGAACATTTTCGGTGTCTGGGTCTTCGCCTGGAAATGTAATGAATGAATTGTATGGAATGACAGTAATTGTCTGCAGTTGACTTTGTCAGTCTGCGTCGTGATTATGCGTCATACTCGAGAACGAGTGCTGCTCGTAGGGACTGGACTGTTAGGGTTACGGCCACTGATTATACTATTTCTTTTTGACAAAATTGCAGTAATATATGACGATGATTACTCCATTCTCTCTAAATGAATCTGTATTTTTGTAAACTTGCTCATTAGAAAATAATAACAGCTAAGTTTCTTGTCGGTTCTTCTTAGTTCGAAAGCACTCTGAATTTGTCCAATTTGACAGATTATAGGAGTCTGTAAAAGACCTAGATGAATAAAACTATTTATAAAAAAATATTTTGATTTGATTTGATTGTGAGAGAGGTAGACATCAGGGCTTTGACAGTCATCTCACCGTCGACATGGTCCTCGTCGTGCTGCAGCTGACCGTTGCCGCCGACGAACAGCAGCGAGCGCCGCTTCTCGGGGGTACCTTCTTCCGGTGGTAGATCGGTTGCCGCTGTTCCAACATACATACATAACTCTTAAAAAAAACTAATCGGGATATAAATAACTAAAATCTGATTTTTATAATAAATTATATAATCTATTGACGGCCTCAGTCTCAGGTAGTCTAGAAGTTTAGCACAACGCTTTACTTCCGATGGTGGATTATTTGTATCAGTCTGGTTGTTGTATAGTACACATAACACAAGTTCTGCGTAGCTTGGAATTAAATGGCGCTGTGTGAATTGTCCTGGGATATTATTATTCAGATACTGCCTATTATTCATCTCAGACAGAATATACGATTATCGCAAACGGGATCACCATTCCATCCTCATCACCGTCCAAATTATTAATATAATTACCGGGGTGGTGATTTAATCCGTTCTCCGGCTCGGCGATCGGCTCGTCAAGCTTTTCCGCGCCGTCCGACTTCTCGGGCGTGTTGAGTACAGCGGGAGGACATTCCTCTGCTGTTGTTGATGTCGATGCCAGCGACGCAGCTGGACTGCAGGACAATCACATGTTTATATACATAATATATCACAGATTTCTACATATATTTGATGATCTTTTTATATAATATTTAAGTATATGTATACATTTTATTTATTTATATAAATTGAGGAATAATAAATGTTTATTGGTAAATTTCGGACATATCAACATTATATTCCTAGTTGCAGCAGTGTTACCCACTCACTACTAGCTATGGCACGCTGTGTTAAGTGACTGGTAGAGATCTCTTTTAGAAATAAGCCCACCTTTGTCACTCTGTATATAATTAAGTATAATACTGTATTTCAAAGTGCAATAAAGAAGATATACAAATAATAAAATATTAAAACGCCTATTCAACGAAATTAGACAAACGTTCGTTTTAACAATTATTATCATTATGATTACATAGTATAAAACAAAGTCGCCGTCGCTGTCTGTCCGTCCCTATGTATGCTTCAATCTTTAAAACTACGCAACGGATTTTGAAGCGGTATTTTTGTAATAGAGTGATTCAAGAGGAAGGTTTATAGGTATATTACATATACACCCGGGCGAAACCGGGGCGAGTAGCTAGTTATAATAATAAACCTCACCTAGGCACCATGCTTTGATCCATTTCTAGGCTATCTTTGTGTTTGCTCTCACGTTTCTTAGTGTTGCGAGGCTTCTTTGGCGGCGCTCGAGATATGCACTGCGAACAGTACCATTTGCCACGCGGATTCTGAAAACAAATAAACATATTTTTTGATAATTAATACATAATACATCTTTGAAATAGTTGTTAACCTACAACCATATTTTGTGGAAATTGAAAAAATGTTTGTAGATACATTAATACATTAAGGTGTAGTGTGGTGTAGTGTGGTGTAGTGTGGTGTAGTGTGGTGTAGTGTGGTGTAGTGTACCTTGGGCAGCGGCGGGTAGTGGCAGTCCTGGTGGTAGGCGCGCACACACAGCGCGCAGGGGATGGTTTATATAAACTATATATACGCACACACATTTTACCTTGGGCAGCGGCGGGTAGTGGCAGTCCTGGTGGTAGGCGCGCACACACAGCGCGCAGGGGATGGTGCGCGAGTGTTGGTGTAGTGTGGTGTAGTGTGGTGTAGTGTGGTGTAGTGTACCTTGGGCAGCGGCGGGTAGTGGCAGTCCTGGTGGTAGGCGCGCACACACAGCGCGCAGGGGATGGTGCGCGAGTGTTGGTGTAGTGTGGTGTAGTGAGGTGTAGTGTGGTGTAGTGTGGTGTAGTGTGGTGTAGTGTGGTGTAGTGTGGTGTAGTGTGGTGTAGTGTGGTGTAGTGTGGTGTAGTGTAGTGTGGTGTAGTGTGGTGTAGTGTGGTGTAGTGTGGTGTAGTGTGGTGTAGTGTGGTGTAGTGTGGTGTAGTGTGGTGTAGTGTACCTTGGGCAGCGGCGGGTAGTGGCAGTCCTGGTGGTAGGCGCGCACACACAGCGCGCAGGGGATGGTGCGCGAGTGTTGGTGTAGTGTGGTGTAGTGTGGTGTAGTGTGGTGTAGTGTGGTGTAGTGTGGTGTAGTGTACCTTGGGCAGCGGCGGGTAGTGGCAGTCCTGGTGGTAGGCGCGCACACACAGCGCGCAGGGGATGGTGCGCGAGTGTTGGTGTAGTGTGGTGTAGTGTGGTGTAGTGTGGTGTAGTGTACCTTGGGCAGCGGCGGGTAGTGGCAGTCCTGGTGGTAGGCGCGCACACACAGCGCGCAGGGGATGGTGCGCGAGTGTTGGTGCGCTCCGCCGCACACTATACACACTCGCTCACCACGAGCCTTGTTCACACACTCCCAGCAGTACCTGCATTCGATAACATCATTATAAGTACAAATATCACCAGAAGTATACTTTGTACACCGTGGCATGCGTAGACAATATTATTTCTCCAATTTCTACCATCGCTAGCAGATTATTCAGTGAGTTCCGTTATGAGATATGGCAATGAAAGTAAACGGTACTGTAAGTAAGCGAAAGTATCTGATGAGAGACTGATGATGTTAACGAGGGTTTTGTGAGAAAAAATACAGAGATAATTATAATGCAACTAGTACGACAGCGATGTATAATAGATAGTTACAAAAAAGGACAAAGAAAAAGGTCAAAAATATATGATTTCAAAATTTAAATGATATAAAAATCCATAAAGGAGTTCGCTACAAGTACGAAGACGTGATAATGTCGTTGAGGTACTAATAATAAGCATTATAGACAATGCTACAAAAAAGATATGGACTGACCAGTCGCCTTCCGGGATCTTCTCCATCCGCGGCTTGAAGCAATACGTGTGGTAGCCTTTGTCGCAGCCGTCGCACAGCAGCAGTTGTTCTTCATCATCTCCCCGCAAGCAGAACTGACAATTCTAAAATAAATAATAATACCTCAGGACAATCCACACAGCGCCATCTAGTACCACGCTCGGCAGATCTTGTATTATCTGCACTAGAGTAAAAACCATGAGGTACTAAGAGTTCTAATAAATCAATACACTTTTTACCAATAACTTGAGAGAACCATATAAAATTCTACAACTAACACAAGGTAAAAAAACATTACATGTTTTGGCTAAAACTAAAGCAGAAAGTGTTCAATTTTACAATAACGCCATCTACTAGAAATTGTAAGAATTACAAATACTAATTTACTGATATAAATACAGATACATTTTTTTTTACACACACAATATACATAGAAAACACCCAGACCGCTACAAACAATTATACATATAAATACAATGTTTGTACAGAAATCCACTCAGCTACCGGAAGCGAGAGCGTGTGCTGACTCGCTAGATCACCGAGGTCGTTATATGCATCGGTTTCCAATACTTACGGCTTTCATGATGCTCTTATCCCAGGCGACAGCTGCTTCGAGCGCCTGCACCAACTGCGCGAGCTGAGCCGACGTGTTACAGCGACCTAGTGCTTCCCGCCATGTTGCCAGACCTCGGGATATGCCTTTTGTATCTGTAGAAAATAAAACACTCAGATGTACATCACTTGTGACCCGAGTGCTAGCTACTTTACCCAGAGGATAAATATAATCAGAGGCAACGCTGCCAGTACCTTGGTTACACAGCCTCGATGTGCCGCGTTAGATTACAATAATTGTTTTTTTTGAGATTGTTTGTTAATATGACTATAATGTTTAAATCTTCAATTAAATTATAATTGTAATATTTTTTTTTATATTGTAGTGAATTTAAGATGTCGTAATTACACAGTAATAATATTAATAATGTGATGACAGGATCTGATAATGGCTAGTACAACCTACTCCAACATAGAGGTAAACACAAAGATTAATAAGGTAAATAAATACAAGGTAAATACCTTTATTTACCATAAAATTATTCGTGTTAAAACCCGTTTAACTATATTAATTATGCGTACCAAACACGACGTTCTGAAAGTAAGTAAATACCTTTCACTTCATTCGCTCCATCGGTGTTTTGTGGCGAAGGTGTGGATGAGTTGCCATGTTCGCCTTGTAGCACCGCACCCAGGGTTGCTTCTGCCGTACTGTTCAATATATTACTAATCAGTGTGATGATCTTTAAATAGATACGTAATACTCCTACATAATGTATGTAATATGTAATTTGAACTCTATTCTCCGCATTTAGCCTCTCATTTCGGCTGTTGTGTGTGTAGTGCCCGGACTACTAAACTTCTCCCAGACTTTGTTAACACAGTTTATCGACCGCAACCATTATAAGGAAAATAAATATATCTCAGTTAATGGTACATTAAGAAGAGACAAATATAACACAGATACATAAATAAATTTGTAATCCTATAGTATGGGACAGCAGCTTCACCAACCGGATCCAATTAAATGTTCAAACCATTTAGGAACCCATGGAAATATGCAAACAACATTTCATTCACCATTTGAATGTAATTTTGGTCACGCCAACGCCAAAATTTTAACACGGGAATTTAGTTTTCTTATACAACGATGGTGGAAAACAAGCATACGATCTGATCTGATGGTAAACAGTTACCGTAGCCTACATACGCCTGTAACACCAAGGGTGTCACGTGCGCATTGCCGACCTTTAAGAAACCTTAATATACTCTTCTTCTAAAACCTCATGCTGTAGTCTCTCGAGAAAACCTCGGCAAATAGTTCATTCTTAGTTTTCATTTAGTTTATCTATAAAGACGGATACAATCATAGAAATTAATCATTCGGCACGCCAGGCATGATATATAACTCACTCAGTAAAAGTTACCACCACCAATCCCAAACACACTCAAAACACATGCAAAATAACAAACACAGTTCGTGTCAAAATATCAAACACAAAACATACACTTTTTTAAAGTAAATGGCAAACAATGTGACAGTCCACCTAATGGTAAGTGGTGATATACACATGATTATACTGTTAGTAAGACATATAATGGATTGATGTTATTTTTTAAACACCCAGACCAATTCAAACAGAAAGAAGTGTTTATGAATTAATAGATTTGTTTATTATATGGTTTGGGCACGTACAAATGAAGATAATATTTTAAGGAACGTGTTACATATGAATCTGTAAGAAAGGACTGCGAACAGAGATGAATGGAAGAGAAAAACATATTTTACCGACCCCAAATAAATGGGACAAGGGAGAGGGAATGATGATGATGATGATGATGATGATGATGATGATGATAATGATGATAAATATTATAATTAAAAATTACCTTATCACCTCGTGTTAATTCACAAAGACAACATGCAGTGTACAAACAGTTAACTACCCACCACAGTGACTGAATCAATGATTTTCACTTTACCTAGCATACCTTTGTACCAAAGGCGGTTTGAGATATCGTCTCTCTATGTGAGCTTCGAGCTGTGCCAGCTTCTGCCTGGCTCGGGCCACTATGGACATCGTGTCGTCGACTCCCCGCGTGGGTCGCCAGCCCTTCACTTGCATCCACGCGGCCGCTACTCGCTCTTCTAACAGCTCCACCTGCCAAGTGTGGAATTATTTAATTATAATTCCGCAGTTTTCCGCTGTTTATAACAATTATAATATATGTTTTCCGGTTGGAAAACACTGATCTGAGTAGAGGCTGTCTTTTTTTCGCGTGTCATATATATTTTATTTCTGTGTGTCCTTGTTATACTCACCGTATTCAGTATTTGCATATCGAGCCTCCTGGCGGTGGCTAGTGAGTAGGATCCGGGAGGGTCCGGGCTGGGAAAGCCTCCGTTCTGTGCGATCACGCGGTCCACGTGCGACAGAGACAGTTCCGTGCTCAGGATGTCTCCTTTTTCTATGTATAGCTGTAGAGTTTATTAGAATAATAATAATATAATTAACTTGGACAATTCATTCAGTGCCAACTAGTACTAACTTAAACAGAGCTTGTATTATGGGTAATAAAAAACTGATATATATGCATTTTATTAAAATACAAACATAATATACACAGAAAACATGCAGACCTATATAAAATGCCTGTGATTACCCCATCTGAGATGATGAGGTAGTACGAAACCCATATTTTAATCGATGTATTTTGAATCCAACGACTTCCAGACCAACAGCAATTCGCCAAACAGTAATATTACTATAAACTTTTTTAAACTATACATCTGATTAAATACTGTCAGCCAAGAGTTGGCCTTATTGACAGCTCTATTAGTTCTTACCGGGGTTTGGAGTGCCATCCGCAATTGTCCCCATTTATAAAAAAGGGACTAATGTCTAATGCTGCTAGTATTAGAATTTAAAAAAGTTCACACTAATAGAACACGCAATAGACAGGACTGTCTGTTGCGTGTGGTATCTATATCATTTTTGTTGTTACTTTAAATTGCAATATACCTTGTTGTTAACCAAGGGTACATGTTGCACTAGAGCGGCGTGTAGTTCTCTCTCACGAACTCCTCGTGGATGAAGAGAATCCATTAGGTCCTTCAGTTGTTCCGGTTCTGTGATGCGCCACCAGCCATGCCTGTAGATCAACCGGATTCTGGTATATTATCGTTATTCATAAATAACTAGCGACCCTACCTCGCATGCATTACAAATCTTTGAATTGTCCACTTGTTCTATACTATAACACGCATGTATTATACATATAAACATTCCTCTCGAATTACTCTATCTAGTGCTAAAATATGCATTAAAGTCTGTTGCAGAATTTACCAGATATAAGCGAACAGACAGCGGCGGCGACTTTGTATTATAAAGATGTTGATAACACTTCACGAGCGGCGAGGGTGAGTATAACATATTTGTAATGCCATAATAGATATATTACTTACTTACCATAATATATGAAATATATTATTAATATATGTACTGTATGTGCCTTACCTAAGCTCTCTAGATACGAATTTCCCCTCGACCTTCTTCGGGAGACCATGGACTTTACAATTCTCTAGCTGATCCAGTTCTTCAGGCGACATCTGTATCGGGGGTGGACTGTCACAGGTCACATATGTCGAAAGAGCGTTAAAGTTGAGAAGACCGAGGCTGGAGAGGCTCTGAGCTTTGGCCTTATGGGAAGCTGCGTCATGTTTCAGGGCATCCGCTTGAAGTTCTTTCTCGAGATCATTATCCTGGAATGATGACAAGAGAGCCGATTTTGTTATAAGTAGTTTCAAGGAACGAAGGTATTACCTACAGTGATATAAATTAATGTTAACATGTACTAAACTCACAAAGTCATGTGTACTCGGGCGAAGCCGTAGCAAAATCTAGTACAATATTTTTTAATTGAATTTGTGCTATTACTTGGTGCGAAAGGGACCTGTAGCACTGCGAGCTGCATAAATCTATTGTGCTCGACCTTTTTTAGAGTTCACTGCCTACGCCCGTCAGGGCAAAGAATTGAACGATATTCTTAGGAATGATGGTTTTTATATACTTTAGAACTGAACTAAAACAGATTATTTATTCAGCTATGATTATTACTCGCTAGTAACAAAATAGGAGGGGGTCGTTGGTAATGGGAATTGCACACAATATATCACGTGATCTCCCTGAAAACTAGTGATTCTTAAACAATTTGCAGGGACGTCAATTCAAGGATGACAGGAAGTGACATACTCAACCAGTGTCTCGCTAGCGTATAGCGTTAGCGCAGATAGAAACACTATTGTATTATCAATCATGAAAAAAATATATATGTAGCTTTCATATTACTCACCTGTTCCTTGTTATCTTCTTCCATTTCAGTTTCCTGCACACTGGTATCTTTATTCAAACTTGCATCCATCATTACTTGATCCAATCCTGACATAGTTAAGCTTGAATCTGCATACACATTATTAGACGGCACTTGAACACTGGTCACCATACTGTTTAGCGTGAACAAACTCGGGTCAATTAACAAGTGTAGATTATTGGAAACATCCCACTTGTGCCCTTGACACACCACCACTTCAGAACATGTATGTTCATTATCACAATACTCAGGTATTTTGTCATTTTTATCCTCGTGAATGTTAGTCAAAAATGAATCCTCATGTCTTAGAATTGAGAACCATTTTCCTTCTAGAATCTTTGTGTATAAATGACTGTGAGCAGTCTCCGGTTCCATTGTCTCTTTCTTTACTTCTTTTACATCCTTCTCTTCTTTTACTTCCTCTTTAGGTTCGAGCTGGGAGGAGACTGCTTCGGCTAACTTTCTTAATTCTTCTAAATTGTTGACTAGTTGATCCTTTTCTTTTGATTCCTCCTCTGTCTCGTTCTTAACCACATTCTCTACTTTTACAATCTCCTGTGGTTTATCCACCGGTTCAGCTTGTGTGGCGTACATGGGTTTATGGGTGGGTTTTTGGACGAGGAACGCGGTGGGGATGGAGTCTTCTATATCAAGCATGTCTTCTTCTTCATTGTTCTGCTTTTGTTGAATGTATTTTTCTTCCATTTTTATTGACGATCCTGCAGATAAACAGTAAGTTTCAACTAAAAAGTATTTTTTCCCAGTTTTCGTTTTACATTTATCTTATAATTATTGTAATATAATTTCAGTACATTTCTACTCTGAAACATTTATTTAACATATAAATAAGAAAAACTTCTCTGCAATTATCCTTAATTTTATAAATGTTTATACTTTATTAATACAAAAAATAATAATGTTAATAAATTAGCAAAGAATTTATAATATGTACGAAAGTATACAGTAAACTGCTAATCTCTAGGAAAAAATAGAGTACAAAACTATAGTAACCAATTAAATTTAATAGCTATTAGTTGATATCTTCATTAGTTAATCTAAACAATAAGAACCATAAAAAAAAACAATAAGAACCAGACTAATATCTACTCTAACTTTGTAACATGTGAAGTCTGGTACAAAATATATAACTTTAAAAAAAAATACTACAGACAAGTGTACTGCGTACAAAATATCTTACCTTCGACCTTACAAGCGCCGTGTTTGACGTTGGGTTCGTACTTGATGATTTGCGTGTGATCACTCAAGTTCAATTCCGACTTGATGCTCTTTAGTTCTAATTCACTTTTCAGTGCTTCTTCTTTCTTCTGAGCCTCCGTCTCTGGGTCTCGTTTATCTTCTGAATCTTTCTTTTCTCGGCCACCTATATAAAAAAACAATTTAGTGGTAAAGTTATTATGGAATTATAATGGAATGAACACTATCGATTATAATTAATAGCCTTGGTCGACCAGCGGTTTAGCACACCGCCTTGCTTCCGATGGTCGCGGGTTCTATTCCTCGCACGATACAAACACTGTATTCATGAGTATTATTGTTTGTATCAGTCTGGGTATTTTCTATGTATAATATGTATGTATTTACAAAAAAAATGTATTTGTGTCAGTTATTTAGTACCCATTACACAAGCTTCAGCTAGTTAACTTCGGACTAGATGGCGTTGTGTGAATTGTCCTGAGATTATTTATTATTATTACTATGTATATATACTTCACTCTTCTTTATCGAAATTAATTTTGACAATTTTTTGACCCCTATTCTAAGCGTTGAAAAATCATCATTACTGCCTTACGTAATTATTAGACGTAATAGGGAGCAAATAGGCTTATCACTCGACTGATAACATGTGATGGGAAGAAATCCAATGAACACTCCCAACACCAGAAGAACTGTAGATGAGTTGCCGGTCTTTTAAGGAGGAATCTCATTCTTGAAGGTTTCCTAAAACGGTTCACTCACCTTTCTTCTTTTTCTTATTACTGTCGACAGCCTGTTTGCCATTGATCGCGTTGTTCTCCAAACCCTGATGGTACTGCATAATCTCGGGTTGAGCTGACTCCATTGCCTCTACGAAGATGCCGCCAGACTTGCCCAGAGACCAGTACCGTCGCCAGTATCTGTTAGAAACAAAATAGCAAAAATCTAAAAATTGTCTATTAATTAATTTTGAAATTTTAATCATAAAGACAAAAATATTTTTGTACATATTATTATATTTGACTTTAGTTAGTACGTTGGGCGGTAAACATTTTTAATTTTTAGTTATCGAAGGTTAGAAAATTGATAAAATAATAATATCGCTGTAATAATAGGGAATAATTGTGGAAGGGCCAAATGTAGCCTTGCATTTATATTTTTAATACAGAATCATTAAAAATTGAAATAAAAAAAATATGTACAAAATCTTGAGTGGGTGGTTATTATTTCATTCATAATTTAAGAGCTGTGCTCTTGTCGGTGGAACTCCCGGTTATCACTTAGGAGTATGAAAACTTCTTATTATGAGACCAACTTAATATACATTAAATTTCATCAATTCAAGCTGTTTCATAGGATCTTTGTTACAAACAATGAGACACATGAATTTTTATATTAGATAAACAATACCGAAGTAGAATGAATTGTCAATATTGACAAAATAAGCGCAGTACGAACCAAGACATCGGGTAACACACACAAATACCCCACGATCGAATTATAACCTTAACCTTTTTCAAATCGTATAAAAATGATAATGTACCTGTCCTGTCCATAGCAGGTGGCTCGGAGTGCGTGTGATCCGGCTGTTAATTGCTGCAACTGCTGCTCTGATTGTCTGAGCAGCTTCTCCAGCTTACGGCCAAGCTCTTCTGATGATAAGTTCTTATCTTCATCCTAGGAAGAAAAATTATATTTATTTTCTAAATATATTTTCTTAATGGCTGTTAATCTCGAATTAAAAAATAAAAGACGTGTTTTTAGATTTATAAGATATCTAAAAATGTAAAAGTAATATATATCTTCATGTTAAATTATATTGCGATCCGTACATGCGTTTACCCATAACAAGCTAACAGACATACTTTCACATTTCACATTTTTATGGTTAAAACGTTTTGTAGGTAATTGGCATGACAAGCAACCTGGCTGCTCACATGATGATAGTAAACGGTAATAATCGACTTACATGAACAGAACAACTTTAATACAACTCATGCGTTGTGTGATTCATAGACTTTTCACAACTTTGGTCATCATCATCTGCTTCTTCCTTATCCCAACTTTTCACAACTTGGTAAACACGCAAAATTTCAATCCATGTAAAAATTCATCTATTTCGTCATGAAAGTTATCAAAGAGTCCGACATATATTCGCATTTCTAATATTAGTATAGGTAACGTTCTGTATAACTTACCTCTTCAGGCTGAGTGCCTTCGCTCTCCAAATCACTCAATATTGCATCGCAGTCACCCATAACGCTGTCTTTATCTAACTTATTGTCGGCCGGGGAACATTCCTCCTTATTATTATTTAATATCTCTTTAGTTTTGATATTGTTGGACAAATCCTTTAAGGGCGAGAGTTCCTTGTCACTTTCATCGGGCGGAGCGTCCTTGTACGGAGAGATTGGTTTCTCGTCGGCGTCGGATGCATGGGAGTTATCCTTTTTGGGCGTTTCTTTTTCTTGTATGGGGTTTTCTGTGAAATAAATAGGTACTATTATTATATTATTTAGGAAAGCTTTTACGGAATTTGTTTGTATTATGTATTTAATTTTAAATTACATTAATATCGTTTAATAAATACTAAATGAATCAAATTTAAAAGTCAATGTAAATTGCGTTTTGTAAATAAAGGAGTTCGGTTTAGTCGAGTAGTTTTATTATTAGTATAGATATTATAAGATTTTCTTTGTATAAAATAATAGCTTTTTTCATGGTGAGGTTTTTACAGAAAATATAGTATAAAAAAGATTTTAGTAGGATATTTAAATATATCATATCACCATATAATATACCATAACAAAACAGATTTGTGCAGCAAGAAGGCAGTAAACGTTAAGATTCAAATTACCTCGCCACGAGTCCTCGTGGGGTTGCGGTGAGATTCTGTTCAAATTGGCGGTGCTCTCCTCAACAAGCCGCTGCATGCGCTCTAAAGCGAGCGCTTGCTGCTTCTCCGTTTGTTCGGTGCGTAATTTTCTTTGATGGAGTACACGGACTCTGCGAATATATTAATATAATGAAATTTAATTAAATATAAATTCTTAGTTCTTCTCACAGAAAGAAAAAAAATACATAAACTAACATAAAAAAACATAATTACAATACGGCTTTATCGCTAAATAGCGATTTCTTCCAGGCAACCTATAATAGTATTTTAAACTTTATATAACTAACAAGAATATATTCTCTGTCAAATTTTTTCCATTACTTGTTCTATAAATACAATTTTTCAAGTTTAGTTAGAATGTGATTTATATCTCAAAGTTAAGATTCAAAACTAATGAATGTATGAGACAACTTTTTGGTTTCTAGATTAGATACTACCCCACCAATGATAATAGTCGTAACAGTATCTTTATATTTGTTTGATTCCAATAGAGTATATTTTAAAGGGTTACTCACTTCCTAATCTTCATATCCAAGAGGTACCTCTCCTTCTTGAGCTGGTTGAGGTGTTCTAACGATCCGTCGATCTGTCGTAACACAGATTTGTTCTGTAACAACTCGTTGCACAGGAACGCCAGGATCTTCGTCTTGGCCGTCGAGTTTAGAGCTAGGAATGGCTTGTCTCGTAGTGATTCTGCAATTAAAATTCTTCATTGTATAATGTATATGATTGATATCACACTTGGACAGACATTGTTATTGTTAAACAATAATTTAATTTTGAAAAATAATAGGCATGTGCTAGCGACAAAAACATGTGCTTTGGTGGAAATAGTAAGTCTTTTTGTTATTGGTGATAATTAGTAGAAGACGGTACACTCGCCGGCCGTCGCGGCACTCTGTGGAGGAAAAAAGGAGCCTGAAGTCAGGTCAGTTAGCCCATCGTGACAAATTCACCGGGAATTTATCATGATATTGATGGAAAATTGACTTTATGATTATTGTTATAAAGAATGGTAGCAGTTGTATAAGTATATACTGACCGGACAGTTTGTATGTATTGTTGTTGTGCAGATGCTCGTAGTAGATGCCGTTCTTGGTGTTGGTGCAGGTCACCTGCATCTCTGCGTCAGTCTGATGATGGTCAGCGATACGCCGCTCGCGTTCACGCTCTGCCGTCAGACCTGACAAATATATTCATTAGAATTTCCTTTTTAGTTCATTTCTTAACACGTCATAGCAATTTTTAATTTTTTGGTCACATTTTAGTAGTTAAAATTTATATATAATGTGATAAAATTAAGAGTAAAACAGTATAAACAATTAAAAATATGTGTACGACATTGGAATCATACTGAATTTTGAGAATAACGAAATAAATACCTTAATTTATTTTGTATTCTTTATTGCACCAAATATCCTCTCCCTCCCCCTCCCCCCTTAAAATACAAGTGACTTACCAGTGAGTGCTTTGACCTCTCCGGTGGCGTTAGCGTACAGGTATATCCTGAGGACCTCGCTGAGGTTGGCGGGCGTGATGTCGCCCATGCGGATCGCGTGACCCAGTAACGTGGTATGACGCCCCGGGTGTGGTATACCCGGATCCTCTGCAAATATCGCAATATTCACATTTATAAACTTCGTTTCGTTTTTAGCGGCTATGTTATTTTTTTTTATATTACGATGCTGGCAGATTACTTTACGGCCCGTCTGATGGTAAAGGTTACCGTAACCTATGGACACCTGAAACGCCAGGCATGTCACATGCGCATTGCCGACTCTTAAGAAATGTTAATAATTAATTGTGGATAGAAAAAAATAATACATAAAGAAGAACTTAATATGCTAACAAAACGCGGCCTTATCGCTCTTCTATCTTTAATGATTTTTAAAAATTAAAATTACTAAATCCTAAATATAATTATTGAAAAATAATAAACAAAAAGAACAATTTTGTAATAAAAAAAAGTATGTAAGTAAAAGTAACAATATAGGTATTAGGTAACAAATTTTAGACGTCGATATATTATAATAACATTTGTCAGTTAACAATTTCTTTCATTTGTACCTACTTAAATATATTATTTGACACGTCTTTTAAATATATAATCAACTTATTATAACTATACCTATTGCGCAGACAAGCAGCTGTGTCAGCACCTGGACCAGTTCCTCTTCAGCTTCAGTGCTGCAATCCGGCAGCAGCGCCATCTGTAGCGTGTTGAGCGTAGGAATCGCTTCCATATCTGTACAGACAACACAATTCACTTATGTTGAAAATCTTTCAAAATTATTTACCTACTAATTACTCATTAATCGAATAATAGTATAATAATGAAACTAATATTAGTATAATAAACCTGGCATTAGTGGTCTAGCGGTATAGCACACTGCCTTAATTAAGATGGTTCCGAGTTAGATTCCTCGCACGCTACTAAAATTGTTGTATTTCATGAGTATGATTCTATGTATAGATCTGGTTGTTTTCTATATAAATTATCTATTTATTTATATTACAAAACTAGACAACTGATATAAACACATTTTCTTTTTGTAAATTAAACATAATTTACATAACAAACACCCACAGTTATCGTTATATAGTTGAACAACTATATACCGTGAGGTCAAAAAGCTGCTACTAACGTTTTCAATTGAAACTACCATTCAATGGGGATGATAAGTTATTTTGAGAGTTAGATGGCGCTATGTAAATTGTTCTGAGATAAAATTAAAAAAAAATAACACACACGAAATACGAAGTACAAAAAGTTCGGCTTACTCTAATGCTGTTGGCCGTAACTGGCCTTTACAGCTTCACCGGGCGATATACAAAGAAACTTAGTAAACAATAAGTTTCGACTTACCAAATCCTAGCGTCTGTCCGAAGTTGTGTACGAATTCGAACACTTGCAGTAGGTCCGCCATGGCCTGCCCGGGCAGCTTCAGGCCCGGGATTCTGTTGAGGACCGGTAGCGGCTTCTGATCTGATAGCGAGGAGTCTTCTTGTGGTCGTCTGAAACCAAGAACATTCTCATTATAACAATGCGTATGAATTGTGATGTTTCAATCCACAAATTAAATAGATAAATTCTTTATTCACCAATTACAAACACAGCACAATTAAGGTACAGAAAATGTTTGCGTATTTGTTGACATATTCACTTAAGGTTCCTTTTTTATAGTACGAGAATGACAACCTGCCAATACACGAGATGGATTTGGGCGACCACGGTGTTCTAATAGTTTAGCACATCGCTTTATTTCCGTTGGCTGCGAGTTAGGTTCCTTGCACGGTCCAAACATTTGTATTCATGAGTATGATTGTTTATTGTATCGGTCTAAGTTTTTTCTATGTATTTATTAGCAACAAAGATGTATTTCAGTATTTCCATCGGTTGTTCAATCACCTATGAAGCAAATTAAAATCTGCATTAATTGCCACGTTAACAGCATAATAACTTATGTGAGCAATGCACCTTAATTCAGTGAGCAGTTCCATTTCCTTCCGCCGTTGCTGCAGCTTCTTCTCTTTAACTAGAAGCCTGTCTAGGAGGTTCTGGTGTTTTCTTCTCTCCCTCTCTTCCCATCTTCTCCTTGAGTCCAGTTGACGGATGAAGGTAGTGTGCTGTCGCCGTCTCTCACGTTCCTAGAACAAGGAAGTTGATTAAATAATAGTTTACATTGCATCTATATGATAGACATAGTGATGTCTGATAGTCTTATATTTTGAATTTACTGATTTAATTAATATTAAATATACAAAGAAAAACTAGAAGACAAGATATGATATATAAATAGATATATAGATAGAACTACTTTAGTCCTCATAAAATAAATATAATTAATAAAAACAATCTATAACTATTATACTACTATCCAAAATTAATATCATAATATTATTATTAACAATATATATTAACATTGAATAGGATTAAATTCAGATAGTTGTAGATATTGCTATGTTAGAATTGTTACAGATTTACGTAAGCGTTTACATTCCACAATACAACTCATATATTTTAGCAATATAGTATATATTATAGCAATTAGTGCTAAAATTCCACACCACAATCACCCAAATATCATGCACTATGTACAAAGTTTAATTCACAGACATAGACGGAGAAATAACGGCGCTTATCTCTCATCTATACATATAAATAAAATTGGAGTGTCTGTTTGTAATATTGAAATAACCGTTTTTTACTACATGCATATGAATATAAATACGGTACATACACCAAAATAACATTTTTTACAATTTCTGTCTGTCTGTCTGTTTATTCCGGCTAATCTCTGAAATGGCTGGACCGATTTTGATGGCCCTTTTTTTGGCAGGTAGCTGATGTAATAAGGAGTAACTTAGGCTACTTTTATTTTAGAAAAATAAAGTTAAATTTCCACGACGAACAGCTAGTTTTTTTAGTTTTCGCGTGTAGTAATAGTAACAGGTAGTTTTAAATATAAATTAGACGCCAAAATTTTTTTTGACGGCCCCGGTGATCTTGAGATTTAGCTTTACTTTTCGATGGTCGCCGGTTCGATTCCTCGCGCGGCACAAACATGTGTTAAGTATGATTGTTAGTATCGATCTGGTTGTTTTTTATGTATGTATTGTTGTGTGAAATGTCCAGGGCTATTATTATTGTATTTTCTTCTATTTACAGCGATGTTATTAAGATTATTAATAGCTGACAAAAGTTGACATAAATATTAAGTTTTGAGATTATACGGCATTAATTATATATACGGCAAAAAAGTGCGTGAAAGGGAGAAAATATACATAAATATTTATACGTATAATTAGTAAAAATCACGGGATCCTACCACGTTTTATATTTATTTGCTAAGTTCCCGATATTTCGGCAGTGTTTCAACCGCCATGGTCACGGGAAAACTGTACTGAACTCAGCAAATAAATATAAAACGTGATAAGATCCCGTGATTTTTACTAATTATACGTATAAATAACGACTGCGTCAAGTTTAAAACAGTATATACATAAATATTTGAGTAAAAGAGAACAGTAGATGGATTTGCGACCTCCATTTATATCTATGTCTGTGGATTGGATTGGATTAACGTTTATATAACATACGAGTCTACTCCGAAATTATAAACCTATTCTTTTATATATTGGCCCACGGCCCTTCTGATGACAGTGGCAACCACCGCGTGTCGCATAAATTTATGAAGTATTGTGAACATTATGTAAACAAATTATTAAACATTATAATAATATTTAAGAGCACCTGATATTTTGACGCTGCTACAACAGCACATATACATATATTTTAATCTTAAATTTATTTAGGGACTTTATAATATATGTTATTAAGACATACAGAATATAGAAAAGTTGCGAGGTAACAGTTTGAGCTGGTATGGGCATGTTATGCGGAGGAATGAGGACCATGTCTTATGGAAAGTGTATAATATGAATGTGGATGGATGTAAAGGGAGGGGACGCCCTAAGAAAAGATGGATGGATTGTGTGAAAGATGATATGAATAAAAGAAGAGTATGTTTAGATATGACGACTGATAGAGAGCAGTGGAAGAGAATGACATACTGCGCCGACCACAAATAATGGGATAAAGGCAAGGCAATGAATATAAATATTGTTCAAATAACAATAAAATACTTATATTTGTCAGTTTTATGAAACGACAATCAGGAGTTTTGTTTTATGTATTGTTTATAATATAATATATTATATTTTATAATCATTCTAACCGGGCTTCTTGCTAGTTCGTCTCGACTGATACTAAACTGGCTTGTATGGACCTACGTAATTATATACACTTGTTTTCGAATGTACATCATAATACCGACCGTGTCGAATGAAGTTGGTAATAGAAAGCCTGTCTTTTCAGGAGATATTTCAGATTTACAGTTTCGTAGTAGACGGATATCAACAATATTCAACATAATCGAATATGTATTACCTCAGTAATATATTTTTGCTGTAATCGCCGCGAACGTTCCAGTTGGTGATTGGAAAAGAAAACGAACACAAATGTACAGACGCTCACACAACACACATTATATATAAAATATCAGAATATATAACAAAACAAAATTGTTAGTTACTAAAAAAAGTGATGTTTTCAAGATCAAGCATGAATATGTAATTTTCTCACTAGGTGATCACAAAATATAGACTTTCTTTATTCTAAGTAGTTTAAAAAAAAATAGTAGTTCTCTGATTCTGATCAAGGGGAGAGGGCGCATGAAAAAGGAAATATTGGTCTTTGAAAATTTTATGTATTATAATAGAAATACCTACATTTACTTTTCAAAGTACAACCTGGCATAAAAATATTGTTCTCTCCACCCCCCCCCCCCCCCCCACACACAGCAATAAGTAAAAAATTACGTATTAAATTACAGTGTTTGTTCATGTGGTTACTTTTATTTATTTATTTAATTCGGATATTCATCCATATTAATAAAGAATTATTTAATAAAGTGTTAAATATTGTTAATCACTGTACAAACTGTGTTAGAACACAATTCTGAACACACACAAATAAATATACTACTTTATACACACATAATAACGTAAAAATCTACTCAACTTATTAGGTACAATAGAATACCGAACATTCTAGAAAGATATATTTTTAATCCATTTAATAATTTTGCAGTTTATTATCCATATCTTCATACTATTATAAATATAAAATGTGTCTCTCTATATATTTTAAGTCACTTTCAGGACTAAAATTTGTATTTTAATTTGACAAACAGATAAATTGCCCAATATGGATATCAGCTATCTTTTACTTTAAAAAGCAGACAAAATCGCGGAATCAGCTTGTATTATAAATACGGAATTGTGTCAGTAGTCTGAAAACAGAATGAAACTACATTGCGTGTTTTAGAAGAAGTAAGCAAAGTAACAGACAGGAAAACAGCGACGTTGTGAATACTATTTACGAGTTGGGTATAAAAAATATTTGTATTTCTGAATTATTTACTTAAACAACATATTTAAAAAAGCAATAGATTAGTGTCATGCTGGTTCTTCTTGTAATGCATCTGCGTTCCGAATGAGTACTAGAATAAAATGACTATTCAATAGTACTTATACTAAGTTTATTTGAATAAAGATTATTTCTATTCCTATCATAGCTTTAAAATTAATACTATATATTGGTAACAGTTATTGATATCTTTTTAAAATATCGGTCATTCTATTCCATCTGGTATAAGAAAAAACACGCACAAAATATCATTAATTTAACGATAAGTACCTGTTCTTTCAAGAGCATTGCTTGTTGCCGTTTTATTTCTCTTTCCTGAAACAAAAGTGTGACGTTACAACTTCAATAACAGAAATCAATACAATACATATAATATTACTAATATAATACAAATGCGACTTATTGGTGAGTGGTTTGCACTGTCTTACATTCCAATTGTCACGGATTCGATTTTCAAACGATATAAATATGTTTACGATTCACACAGACGTGTTTGTACAATGCAAGTGTAATTACTTTATTACATTAAGTAAAAAATAAATAAGCTTGGCGATATTTCCATCTAGTCTTAAATTAAGTAGAGCTTAAACTATTTTAGGCCCGCACAACGGCCCAAATGGGAGGCTAAATGCGGAAACCAACATATAATACGATACAATACTATTTTAGGAAACTGATAGACATACATCAATATAATATAAAAAAAAAAAAAAAGGGATACTTAGTCCCAATATTTTTAACGCAAGAACGACTGCATTGATTATTAAGATCATCGATTTGTAATGTAAAGAATGTAATAGAAATAATAAAATATAATGTGAACTTTTTTATCATTAAAATTTAAATTTCTAAAATAAAAGAAGCCTAAGTTACTGTTACACCTTATATACTCATAATGTACCCATAATACAAGTGCTGCTTACTCGGGACTAGATGAAGCTGTGTGATTTATCTTGGATTGTTATTATTGTGTGGGATTCAAACCCAGCACAATCGGATGTTAAGGCAGTGTGTAAAACTACTACCCCACTAAGACCACCTCATTTTATAATAACAACTCCGTGTCCTCAGCACTACAAACCTGTTGCCGCTTCGCTTGCTCCTCTATCTTTTGTCTCTCAATTTCTTCCTGTTTTCTCTTCTTTGCCTTCATTACATACGTGCGAACAACATTGAAAGCGGTACAGCAAATTATAAAAACGGCAAACATGAAACAAGAAATTAAATATGTATAAGTTTTAGAAAGAAGCGACAATACTGGCTACAGTACTTGTAATATATGATAATAGATTTGCAAACTCAAAATAAAGCAGTCTAGATTTGTGACGTAACCAATATAAATAAATATATGTTATTATTTTAGTAAATCAGTGCCAATTCCACTTTAGGTTCTCAATTAATTTATTTATTTAAACATTATTAATTAATCGGTTTTTAATTTCTACATTAAATAATATATAGTCTCTCTGTCCTACCAATACAGTCTATCTTCACGTCAAATTTAATTAAGATCCGTTCATCTGTTTAGCTGATACCAGATAACATACAGACAGACAAATATTTCACATTTATAACATTAATATAAACATTATGGGTAATGCTCACTGCAGCTCTCATATTATATCGAAAGCAACATATTAAAAAAACTATTTGAAAATTTACGCTTCTCTGTGTAACAATTACAAAAGTTACAAATCTCAAATTGCAATATGTACACCAGTTTTGGCAATTTAAATGTCAATTCCTAGTATTCAATGACATAGTTTGGGGAGGGGGAATTTTAAAATATAAATTAGGTAATATATATTAGAAAAAAAAAAGAAAATAGCATACAAAGAAGAAAAATATACTACTAAATATAATACTATTTACTGGTATATAGAAATACTTGAATATATATATCATCGTAGAAGCGTATAGATTTATTAATAAAAAAAAGTTTTGAGTTCATACTTAAAGCAAATAGTATATCTACACAAAGCAATTTACAAATTGCTTTTATAAGGAAATGAACTAAAACCCTTTTAAATGCATACTTTATTTACAAAACGTTATTAGCATATATCCCTTATCCTACAATTCGTGCTTCGTGATATAGTAATAATGAATCATAGATAGTATCATAGTGGTGTTAGTGAAACCCGAAAGTTAGTATTAATTGCTCAATTCTCCAACATACCGAGTCCTTGCCGAACGGATGGACCGATATCGATAGAGCTCCATCTTTCCCAATACTAAAAGTCCCTTTATTTATTTTTCTCGCTATTATATCATTCAATATATTATCATCATCTTCACTCAAATCAATCACTTCCTTGAGAACGGACTTCTGATTGTCTTTGGGCATTAAACATAAGTTTTGCGACATAAATTCGTTTTTCGCATCCAAATATTTCTGTTCTAAAGATTTTGGGTCCTCGCTTTTTTTATCGGCTTGTAATTTTGACCAATCACAGCCATTTATGAACTCGCTAATCCTAGAGTATGATTCTATGAGCTTTTCTAAATTATTCTCTTTGTCTGGGACCTTAGGTCGCTTTTCGTTCGCCCTCATTAAGGTGAAGTCATAATGCTTATCATTGCTCCGTTTCGGTAGATCGAATGCCGCTTTTTCGGCGAAATCTTTCATTTTATCTAATGCATTGTATTCTTCGTCTTCTTTCCAAGTGGTTTCGAAGCTTATTGTTTTTATTGGGGCGTTTTGTGTGTCTTTATGCCCGCTGACTGGTATTAGGGACAAACTAATTGGTGGCATGACTCGTTCCTTATTCGATTTCGCTGCGCCCATCACTATATCTGGTACTTTCCAGTCGGCGATATCGATTTTGGCCGCCGGCAACGGCTCGATGGTCAGCTGCGATCGATTCTTGTTGATATGCTGTCATAATCGATTCATTATTGTCGACATCAACCTCCGAATTTATTATCAATTGGATTGTTGACAACATTGTCAATTTCCGATTTATTTTTTGTTAGAACTATAGCCCATAAATTTACATAAATATATAAGGAAAGTATATATAGACGTACTAAAACACACATAGTAACTACTAACTAAAAGCGTAGAGTTTGCCGTCTAAGAAAAAGCAAAAAGTGACCCATTTATCTAATGAAGTTATAATATATCCCAATATATGAAGGCTCTTTTTGCTTTTGAAGAGATCTAACTATGTGAGCACAATGTTGCCAAGCATCAAATTGATAATAAAATAATAAACACAAGCACATGGTTTAAACACATAGATATAAAATAAAAAAAGAAATGGCAGCTCCCAAATTAGACTATTACAGAACAGTACCAATACGTATCCATGGAAAATTTAAAATATTTAAATAAAATATTCTTCGATACATTACATGTATTTTTTTCCAATTAACAAAATCAATTAATTCTTGTCAAATTGATAGAAATATGTAAAAAAAAAATACAAAATAAGATTCTCAGAATGTTCCTTATTTCTATGATCTAGGACATAAGTCCAAAACTAAAAGAACCTGAATATAAAAATTCAATTAAAGAACTAATCTTACAGAACCAAAAAAGACAAAACCTGTAAAATTTATTATTAATAATCAGATATTTTTTTAATACCTTAAAATCGTAATCCGTTTATAATCATGCTGGGTATAACAGAATAAATATTTCTTAATATGGGAACTGCCATACAAATAAGACAAACATACCTAAATAAACATACCCCGTTAAATAAACACCCATACATATAGATATTAATTTAAGTCCTCACCTCCAATAGCTGCTGGCTTCTAGCTTCCTTTTCACGTTTAGCCATTTCTGCTTTTTCTGTCCTTTCCAGTTCTCTGACTAGTCTAGCCTGTTGAGAAAATAAATTCATTTTTATATTGTATACATTATAGGAGATATGTACCGTGATAGTATTCTTTAAATATTTTTTATATATTTAAAATAATATTTGCCGCTCTCTTTGTGATTATAATATTTTGGCCTATGACTTCAAGGGTTGTGTTTCATCTTAGGTTGATCTCCATGCGGTTCCCTCTAAAAACCATCATGATAAAGTCCTGCTGAATTTATGAGTGATGGACGAACAGATCTGACCTCATGTTCAGCTTATCATCTTCTAATGATGCACCGTCCGCGTAAACCGTGAGCGAAAACAGGTGCACCATTAGAATATATGACTTCTATATTTTTATAATTATCGTCCATAAAAAATATTATTCAAAAGGTCTAGGAATTGCCTGGCCTGGCCTGCTGCCTGCGCGCGAGTTCGATGCGGCGGTCTGTAATGTGTGTACTCGCCTGGTCCCTGTCCCTGGCGCAGGCGTCCCGGCGGGCGTGCCTGGCGGCCTGCTGCCTGCGCGCGAGTTCGATGCGGCGGTCTGTAATGTGTGTACTCGCCTGGTCCCTGTCCCTGGCGCAGGCGTCCCGGCGGGCGTGCCTGGCGGCCTGCTGCCTGCGCGCGAGTTCGATGCGGCGGTCTGTAATGTGTGTACTCGCCTGGTCCCTGTCCCTGGCGCAGGCGTCCCGGCGGGCGTGCCTGGCGGCCTGCTGCCTGCGCGCGAGTTCGATGCGGCGGTCTGTAATGTGTGTACTCGCCTGGTCCCTGTCCCTGGCGCAGGCGTCCCGGCGGGCGTGCCTGGCGGCCTGCTGCCTGCGCGCGAGTTCGATGCGGCGGTCTGTAATGTGTGTACTCGCCTGGTCCCTGTCCCTGGCGCAGGCGTCCCGGCGGGCGTGCCTGGCGGCCTGCTGCCTGCGCGCGAGTTCGATGCGGCGGTCTGTAATGTGTGTACTCGCCTGGTCCCTGTCCCTGGCGCAGGCGTCCCGGCGGGCGTGCCTGGCGGCCTGCTGCCTGCGCGCGAGTTCGATGCGGCGGTCTGTAATGTGTGTACTCGCCTGGTCCCTGTCCCTGGCGCAGGCGTCCCGGCGGGCGTGCCTGGCGGCCTGCTGCCTGCGCGCGAGTTCGATGCGGCGGTCTGTAATGTGTGTACTCGCCTGGTCCCTGTCCCTGGCGCAGGCGTCCCGGCGGGCGTGCCTGGCGGCCTGCTGCCTGCGCGCGAGTTCGATGCGGCGGTCTGTAATGTGTGTACTCGCCTGGTCCCTGTCCCTGGCGCAGGCGTCCCGGCGGGCGTGCCTGGCGGCCTGCTGCCTGCGCGCGAGTTCGATGCGGCGGTCTGTAATGTGTGTACTCGCCTGGTCCCTGTCCCTGGCGCAGGCGTCCCGGCGGGCGTGCCTGGCGGCCTGCTGCCTGCGCGCGAGTTCGATGCGGCGGTCTGTAATGTGTGTACTCGCCTGGTCCCTGTCCCTGGCGCAGGCGTCCCGGCGGGCGTGCCTGGCGGCCTGCTGCCTGCGCGCGAGTTCGATGCGGCGGTCTGTAATGTGTGTACTCGCCTGGTCCCTGTCCCTGGCGCAGGCGTCCCGGCGGGCGTGCCTGGCGGCCTGCTGCCTGCGCGCGAGTTCGATGCGGCGGTCTGTAATGTGTGTACTCGCCTGGTCCCTGTCCCTGGCGCAGGCGTCCCGGCGGGCGTGCCTGGCGGCCTGCTGCCTGCGCGCGAGTTCGATGCGGCGGTCTGTAATGTGTGTACTCGCCTGGTCCCTGTCCCTGGCGCAGGCGTCCCGGCGGGCGTGCCTGGCGGCCTGCTGCCTGCGCGCGAGTTCGATGCGGCGGTCTGTAATGTGTGTACTCGCCTGGTCCCTGTCCCTGGCGCAGGCGTCCCGGCGGGCGTGCCTGGCGGCCTGCTGCCTGCGCGCGAGTTCGATGCGGCGGTCTGTAATGTGTGTACTCGCCTGGTCCCTGTCCCTGGCGCAGGCGTCCCGGCGGGCGTGCCTGGCGGCCTGCTGCCTGCGCGCGAGTTCGATGCGGCGGTCTGTAATGTGTGTACTCGCCTGGTCCCTGTCCCTGGCGCAGGCGTCCCGGCGGGCGTGCCTGGCGGCCTGCTGCCTGCGCGCGAGTTCGATGCGGGCGGTCTGTAATGTGTGTACTCGCCTGGTCCCTGTCCCTGGCGCAGGCGTCCCGGCGGGCGTGCCTGGCGGCCTGTGCGCGCGAGTTCGATGCGGCGGTCTGTAATGTGTGTACTCGCCTGGTCCCTGTCCCTGGCGCAGGCGTCCCGGCGGGCGTGCCTGGCGGCCTGCTGCCTGCGCGCGAGTTCGATGCGGCGGTCTGTAATGTGTGTACTCGCCTGGTCCCTGTCCCTGGCGCAGGCGTCCCGGCGGGCGTGCCTGGCGGCCTGCTGCCTGCGCGCGAGTTCGATGCGGCGGTCTGTAATGTGTGTACTCGCCTGGTCCCTGTCCCTGGCGCAGGCGTCCCGGCGGGCGTGCCTGGCGGCCTGCTGCCTGCGCGCGAGTTCGATGCGGCGGTCTGTAATGTGTGTACTCGCCTGGTCCCTGTCCCTGGCGCAGGCGTCCCGGCGGGCGTGCCTGGCGGCCTGCTGCCTGCGCGCGAGTTCGATGCGGCGGTCTGTAATGTGTGTACTCGCCTGGTCCCTGTCCCTGGCGCAGGCGTCCCGGCGGGCGTGCCTGGCGGCCTGCTGCCTGCGCGCGAGTTCGATGCGGCGGTCTGTAATGTGTGTACTCGCCTGGTCCCTGTCCCTGGCGCAGGCGTCCCGGCGGGCGTGCCTGGCGGCCTGCTGCCTGCGCGCGAGTTCGATGCGGCGGTCTGTAATGTGTGTACTCGCCTGGTCCCTGTCCCTGGCGCAGGCGTCCCGGCGGGCGTGCCTGGCGGCCTGCTGCCTGCGCGCGAGTTCGATGCGGCGGTCTGTAATGTGTGTACTCGCCTGGTCCCTGTCCCTGGCGCAGGCGTCCCGGCGGGCGTGCCTGGCGGCCTGCTGCCTGCGCGCGAGTTCGATGCGGCGGTCTGTAATGTGTGTACTCGCCTGGTCCCTGTCCCTGGCGCAGGCGTCCCGGCGGGCGTGCCTGGCGGCCTGCTGCCTGCGCGCGAGTTCGATGCGGCGGTCTGTAATGTGTGTACTCGCCTGGTCCCTGTCCCTGGCGCAGGCGTCCCGGCGGGCGTGCCTGGCGGCCTGCTGCCTGCGCGCGAGTTCGATGCGGCGGTCTGTAATGTGTGTACTCGCCTGGTCCCTGGCGCAGGCGTCCCTGCGGGCGTGCCTGGCGGTCTGCTGTGTGCGCGTGGAGTTCGTTGCGGCGGTCTGTACTGTGTGTACTCGCCTGGTCCCTGTCCCTGGCGCTGGCGTCCCGGCGGGCGTGCCTGGCGGCCTGCTGCCTGCGCGCGAGTTCGATGCGGCGGTCTGTAATGTGTGTACTCGCCTGGTCCCTGTCCCTGGCGCAGGCGTCCCGGCGGGCGTGCCTGGCGGCCTGCTGCCTGCGCGCGAGTTCGATGCGGCGGTCTGTAATGTGTGTACTCGCCTGGTCCCTGTCCCTGGCGCAGGCGTCCCGGCGGGCGTGCCTGGCGGCCTGCTGCCTGCGCGCGAGTTCGATGCGGCGGTCTGTAATGTGTGTACTCGCCTGGTCCCTGTCCCTGGCGCAGGCGTCCCGGCGGGCGTGCCTGGCGGCCTGCTGCCTGCGCGCGAGTTCGATGCGGCGGTCTGTAATGTGTGTACTCGCCTGGTCCCTGTCCCTGGCGCAGGCGTCCCGGCGGGCGTGCCTGGCGGCCTGCTGCCTGCGCGCGAGTTCGATGCGGCGGCTGTAATGTGTGTCCACGGGTCCCTGGCGCAGGCGTCCCGGCGGGCGTGCCTGGCGGCCTGCTGCCTGCGCGCGAGTTCGATGCGGCGGTCCACGGGCGGCGGAGTCGGCCGCGCGCCGCCCACAGACAGCGCCCGCGCTTCCTCCAGCCTGAACGATGTAACGAATCATATACTACACTTTTTTTTCGATCATTCCCATCTCAGGGAAAGGCAAAAGGACTCTGCCCATACAGGTATAGTCTGCGATACTCGTGTTGTGTTATGTAATATTTGAGTAAAAAAATTACTACCAATTATCTAGTATCTTATAATATTATAATATGATGAGATGTCGCTGCGTAATTTATATTTTTACTGTAGTATTTAGGTAGTGAGAATACAGGTGGAATTATTGTATATTTATAAGTTTATTTTGGTAGTGTGCTACACGGCTTACTAGTGACACATACATTCGACGCGTAGTCGGGGTGCTGACTTAAATCTATCTGGAGAGATACTGATAGAAGGATCTCGAGTGTTGACAGAAATATTACCAATGTAGGCAGAAACTAAACCCTATAATAATGCATTTAAACTACTAACCTTTTAGTAATCTCTGCCTCGTTGTAAATGAGTGGTTCGTGATCAGGCGCTGTGGCCGGCTGTACATACTCGCCGACCACGTGGCGCGCGCTGAAGCTGAAGTTATCTACTGACAGCGGCGGGCTCGGCCGCGCCTCCAGGAACTGCACACATATGTTGCGAATCAAAAGTTGTTCGTTACGGGCCCTGGAGGTCCCACTATATGCAAATATGGGTTTATTTTTAAAGTAGTTAAGGGTACCGAAAAATGAATTTCCTACGGCGTCACATGACGACGTGAAGTGCATGGTGCCTTCATATACATACGCATTAGTTGCCATTTACCATCAGATGGTCAGATTGTTTGTTCTAGTTACATATTTTTTCGGACTACCTAATGTTGTTGGCCGCAGCTGACCTTTACAGCTTCAACGAACCATAATGGATAAATGCAGATGGCATTCCAAACGGAAGGACTTATGGAGCTACTGAAGGCCAACTCCCGCCTGACGTATACGACATTAGTCTGAAAGCACCGCTAGGGGTTCGAACCTCGGCTCAGGTCGTCGTAAAATCGATCCCCGTTTAAATTGGAATTTCGAGATATTTTTACATAATAACGATCTATGTAGTTTTTGTGCTTGGTAGTAATGTACAAATTAGAATATTTTTTATTTCACATACCGCCTGCAATTCTTGCATGGTTTTTATGTGCAGCGAAGAGTGGGGCTCCGGCGGGGAATAGCTGACGTCACCTTTGATATTGCAGTTTCTTGACAGACCCTTGATCATAGTCACACGTTTCCAGCCTAAGGAATAAATAAATAATACTTTTAATAAAAAAAAACTCACATTGTGTTTGTATGACACACATATCTACCTATGTATTTTTTACCTTTATAAAAATTCAAACAAGGAAAAACAACATTACAATTAGTCTTCAAGTACGGCACTGTGTCTTAAGTTAGGTTAAGTTTAGTTACATTGTAAATATTTTTATTATGTCAATTTTAGCGATGCGATAGCGGACTCTCCTCTCTCCGTCGCCACCAGCCCTCCACGGGACGATAGTATCGATTCCAGACAGAAATATGTTAATATATATATAATCTTAATACAGCATTGCAGTAGTGGCGACCACGGACCGGAAGACGCAGCGCGGGAAGGCCTCTAGCAAGGTGGACCGACGATCTGATCAAGATCGCTGGAAGGTATTGGATGCGAGCAGCGCAGGACCGATCGTCTAGAGATCTTTGGGGGAGGCCGAGGTCTAGCAGCGGACGTCTTCCGGGCCGCGATGATGATGATGATAGAGCATTCGATTTAGTGGTGTGTGTGTGTGTGTGTGTGTGCGTGTGTGTGTGTGTGTGTGTGTGTGTGTGTGTGTGTGCGTGTGTACCGAGCGCGACTGGGAGGCGGAGCTGCGCGTCGTGCGGGCGGCGCGCGGAGTCGCTGGCGTCGGAGTCGGACGGGCCGCTGTCGGACGGACACTCCGAGTCCGTGCTGCCGCTCTCGCCCAGCAACGCCTTCAGCTTCTCCTAAACAACGTTCCACACCTTATATTGTTGTTGTCGTTTTCAAATACGTCCAATTTGGACAGGCGAAGAGCATCGCCCATACTGCCTAGTCAGTAGTTTTTTTTTTGTGGATGATAATGGAATGGTGCACCCGCCTGCGCTAACGGTTTACGCTGGCAGGGCACCAGTGGAGGATGATAAGATGAGCATGAGGTCCGGTCAGTTAGCCCATCGTGACAAATTCACCAGGAATTTATCACGATGGTTTCCAGGGGGAACCGCGTGGAGGTCGACCTGACATGATACATTGCTAGCAATGGGGTTATCAATCCACATTACTAACAATCCCCTGCGAAAAAGAGTTTTTTTTTTATTAAGGATGATAATGAAATGGAGCACCCGCCTGCGCTAACGGTTTACGCTGGCGGGACACCAGTGGAGGATGATAAGATGAGCATGAGGTCAGGTCAGTTAGCCCATCGTGACAAATTCACCAAGAATTTATCACGATGGTTTGGGGGAACCGCGTGGAGGTCGACCTGACATGGTACATTGCTAGCAATGGGGTTATCAATCCACATTACTAACAATCCCTTTCCACCCCCTAGTCAGTAGTTAGATTAGTCTACAGTATATAAATCGTTTTATGTCACATTATATTGATTCAATATTTCTTTTTTTTTTTAGCATAATCAACGGGCAAAGGCCACGCATCCTCTTCGACGTTGGCGTCTGCCCGTTGACGGCCGGTCTAGAGGACACCGCTTTTCTTCAGATGATCACGGGTTCCATTCCTCGTACAGTACAATCATTCGTATTCATAATTATGATTGTTTGTATTGGTCTCTCGGTGTTTTCTATGTATTTTATGTATGTACATTAATAATAGGGGTTGAAGTATGAAATTGCCATTCTATAGTAATAGATACTTTGAATTGACAAAAACTTTAATATTTGTGTTGAGACGTTTGAGGATTCGATTTTTCGCATTTGCATTCACTGATATCATTGTTTGTACTAGTTTATTATGTACTTTATATACAAAAATGTCTAGTCTAGTATACTACAAGATCTACTGAGTTTGTAACTAGATAATGCTTTGAACTATCAACAGTCATTAACATTGTAAAATTAAAAAATTACCAGATCAGTCTCCCCGAGAAGTTGCTGCGCCAGCGCAGGTCGGAGCCCTAGCGCTCTGCTCTGGGCCAATAAGGAGGCAACAGTGTTCTTCTTTGGCTTGCTGACTCCCCGCCCCAAGTTACGGGGCCTACCTTCCCGATTTGGCCATGCTGGTACAGCTAAAGTCATATTTTTGGTTATGACAGCGTGGTTAAAGAATAGCTTAGACATACACTTTTGTACAATGATAATTGATATCTTCATAATTGTTCTCAATGTCCACCCATAGTGACGGATCAAAAAACTCCTGATGCGAGATATACACATTTAATATATAAGTTTCATTCATTCATAATTTAAGAACGACGCCCTTGTCACTTTCCACGATCTTCCATCATACTCGTTAAACCTTAATACGTCAGGACTCCAATTCTATCTTTAATTTACTTAATGTAAGTGTGCCTTAGTTTATATAAGTCTATTTACACAAAAACTCAAATCTATCCACTAATCTATATATATATATATATAACTCAAAGGTGACTGACATAGTGATCTATCAACGCAAAGCCCAAACCACTGGACGGATCGAGCTGAAATTTGGCATGCAGGTAGATGTTATAGCGTAGGCATCCGCTAAGAAAGGATTTTGGTTAATTCTACCCACAAGGGGATAAAATAGGGGATGAAACTTTGTCAATTTTAAACCGATGGCTGAGACTTTGCATGTATAAATCTATGACGTACGCATCCCCTAAGAAAGGATTTTAATAAATTCCTTAGGGGTAAGGGTATAAATTAACGCAAGCGAATTCGCGGGCAAAAGCTAGTACTAATAATATAGGTATATCAACTGACATTCACTGTCCTCGCTGCCGCTGGACTTGGGTCGCGGGGAGTCCGCGGGCTGCGAACTCAACTCAGGAGCCACCCGACGGGGCTTCGCTCCGGGCTTGCGGCGAGCTGCGGACAATGACAGTGTTTCTTTCAAGTATTTCATTTAATTGAAACGTCATTCATGTTTTTTTAATGAGAGATACCAAATTAATATCTCAGGACAATTCACATAACGCTATCTAGTCCCAAGCTATGCAGAGCTTGTGTTATGGATAGACAACTGATAGATATACTTAGATACATTTTTTTGTAAATACGTATATATAAATATAAAATTAATATATAAATTGCTTAGAAAACACCTAGACCAATACAAACAATCATACTGACAGGAGGAAGTGACAAATCAAAAATAATTTATTCATCTCTTTAATATTTTTCCCTACCGTCCAGTTCAGTATACAGATTCAATTGAGAAGAACTGGCAAGTAAATCAAGGGATTTTTAACGTACTTTACATCCTGTGTTTATATACTCACATATCCTGTCGTTGCTTCCGGATGCATTTAGAGAACTGCTGAGTGAAGTTAGTCTCGAGAGGGCGTCCGAAGCCTGCGTGCTCGCTAAAAACAATAAAAATCTTTATTAAAAAAAGCCAAATTCCATTGGTTGTAATTTTAGTTTGAGTTGATGGTAGAAGTGGTGATAGTATGTAAAATAGGATAGGACTACCATCACCATACAGGTAATACAATAGTCAGTAATAAACATTACTATTCTAATACTGTTGGTCGCAGCATAAAATATGATATAAAGTGAGTATAAATGTAACGCACGGGGGGTGGGTTTGAGTGAGAGATTGAGGGGCGCGTCATCGTCTGCTCTCACACCCAGATCCAGCGGACCATCATCAGCAGCACTGCTACCTCCACTACACTTCGTACTCAGGTTTAGGCCGGAATCTGTAAAAAAAAAAATAGGTGGAATATACTTTATTTGTAACACACAGTAAAGAAAATGCATAAACAACATATTAAAGGACAACAAGGCGGCCTTATTGCTGAAAGCAATCTTAAAAAAAAAAATGTAATGTATGGTAGTAGAACACACTAGGATATCAGAAGAACAACAGTACCAGATGTACTCTCAAGAATATATAATTTAAAATGGACTTGGACATTATAAGATGTTAAATAAATAAATGTAATAAGCAAGAGACTTTCTGACTATTGACCATTGTGCTTACTAGCCAATAGCAATCTCTTTTATTTATAGTTACCTATAAATTTCTTATTTATAATATACGAAGCAAACATTTTTACGGCACATCTGATGGTAAGATTACCGCTGCCCATGAGTAAGAACAGCCAACACCACGGGTATTCCAAGTGAGCTACTGTGTAATCTCTTAGCTAATAGATTGTAAAGTTGTCTATCTATATCTAACCTGACGGAGCAGTGGACCCAGCGAGTTGCCTCTCGAGGGCGGCGAGGCTTACTCCGCTCTGACTAGCAATTGTCTGCAGCAGCTCCCGAGATATACCTGCACCAAACAACACAACCTGTATTAATTATTTATTCCCAACTAGTACACATCTACATTAATTATCGTAAAATTTGGAATATAATACATTTGGGATAGAAAATTATATAGGCTACTTTTACTTTAAATAATTTCCACGCAGACGAAGTCGAGGGCTGAAGCTAGTATAATATATTACAATAATATCCAATTCTATAAAATTCCATCAGAATATTATGAATGCAACAAAATGTACTTGCACAAAGCGGATTTCAAATTGCAAATAAACCACTCCAATTACGTCCGAGAGATCGTGAAGATCGCAACGCTTCCAGTAGCGGTGGTCAGGTTTCCGCATTGAATATTTGGAGTCACACATGCTAATAGTAGCGGAATTAAACAAAATAATACCATTAAGTGATGAAAAGACAGCAAAGTGACACCTACTATAATTAGATAAAACACATAATTTGTACTTACAGTAGCACTGCATTATAAGTACAGTCATTGAAAAAATCAATGTACGTTACCTGCATAATCAGACAAATTAGGCGGAGGAGTCCCCGATAGCGAATTGTGAGCCCCGCGCTCCGGTTTATTCGGTAGCCGGATCACTTCCACTGACGACCGAGAGTTGCCATACTCGTCCTGCAATATATAAATACTTAATTCACTATATTCACGATGATTCCTTGAATGACCAATGGTTGTCTGGTAGAAAATACGATGTTAGGTCCGCCAAAGGTACTGTAAAAAAAAGCGAGTTGACCTTCACACGGTTCCCCTTGGAAACGATCGTGATAAATTTGTTACGATGTGCTAACTGACCTGTCTTCGTACTCATCATATCATCATTCACTGGTGCCAGCCAGCGTATGTTGTTATCGCAGGCAAATAGTTATATTTAGTAATGATTACTTTGGACTTTCAAAGTTTTTTTTCGGACTACTCTAATGCTGTTGGCCGTAGCTGGCTTTTACAGCTTCACTATCAAAGTAACTGTGGTCTATAAAACTGTAAACTTGAACGCACCACTTTCTGCCGCTTGTTTGGATGCGTGGCACGGTCTGGTGTAGAGGGTGCGGCTGCAGAGGGATGAAGCGACACGTGCGGTGGATCTAGAGAGATCGTCTTCTTACGGCCGCGTGTCGTCGATCCGGGCGTCGACTGTAATAAAATCCATAATACATTCTCTACATAGCTTAGGGCCAGATGGCTTTGTATTAAATTGTCCTTAGATATTATGATTACTCATAACCTTAAGGTTTTCCTTGTATAATCGGAAAACTGCCTAGGTATCCTTTATGTATTAGAATAGAATTCCATTTATACACGAGTTGTAGGTACTTGATACTACTGAAATGTTCAAAATAAATGTGAATAAAGGTGTAACTTACCTTGGGCCCCGCTAGTGATGACGTATATTTGATGATCTCAGTGTCAGGTGGTAAACGCACGCCGCCTAATACGGACGCCGGATCGCTGAAACATATTGTTTATATTAATATTTCATAGACGACCTCGGAGGTGTAACAGTTTAGCATGCCGCTCTAATTACAATGATCGCAGGTTCGATTCCTCGCACGGTGCAAACATTTATATTCATGAATATTGTTTGTATCGGTCTGGGTGTTTTCCAAGTATATTCATGTATGTATTTAAAAAAATGTATATGTATTTATACCAGTTGTCTAGTACCCATAATACAAGCTCTTTAAGACAAAGGTAGCCTATGCCCGTCCTAGTGATACAATCTATGTTCATGTCGAATTTCATGAAATTCCTTTTAGCCATTTAGTGCTGAAAAGGTAACAAACAGACAGACAGACACACATTCGCATTTATAATAATAGTAAGGATTTCCTTAGATACATTATACAACTTACCCTCCCTCCAAAGCAGCACTACGAAAGAGAAAGGAGATTCTTATTATTTCATTATATTTAATAGATTTAGCGTTAAAAATATTACATATATTGTATATATATTAGTACACGACTATTTAAATTTTTAATGCTTAATCAAAAAATATGAATAAATTTTAGATAAATGCGTATGGAGGGTTTAACTTTTTACTGCTGCTAATCAGAATATATTATATTTTGCTTAGTATTGGTTGCAATTCTGGTATGACAACATACAGTGTTTTTACTTTATATATCATAAATATCGATCTCCGAACAACAACAAAGGTAATGTAGCATAGAAACTACTATATAGTGTAGTTACCTGAGTATTGTATGTGGTAAGCCTGTAAGAGAGTCGATTCCATGCCGGTCCTTATCCGATCCCACGCCGAACGGATACAGAGGCGACATATTCTGAAAAATAATTAACACTTTGTTAACCGGGAAATTTACACAGAAACTATGTCATGCTCTTATTTGTTATTGAATATGGAAGTAAAACCTCTTATAGTATACGATTTTATATAAACGATCTTCGGGTCACCTAATGGTAAGTAATTACCGCCGTCCATGGACACCCGCAACACCAGGGAAATAGCAAGTGCGTTGCCGGCTCTTAAAAAAGGTATAAGCTCTTTTCTTTAAGTTTTCAATATTGTATCAGTTTGATAATACCATCGCTGGAAACAGGGACTCTTAACTCATATATTGCTCTTACATTTTACACCAATTACATCGATACTACATCAATGGCGGATGTAAATGGTAAGTTTTAGAAATGGAATTTAATATTACCTTCCCCTTGGCAGCAGCTGCAACCGCAGCATGGTAGGCACCATGCGCAGCCGCTTGAGCCAGCATTAGGTCACCACGAAGAAGGGCCAGCTCCCGATCTTTTCCTTTAGACCCGCTGCTGCTACTCGATGAAGATGGTTTTCCTTTAACAAGAACAAATAACATTTAGCTATGCTATCGTTATCAGAAGTAGACTGTAAGTTGCCTGTATGGCTACGTCAGCCTCACCTGTTCGAGCCGCTAAGCAGCTTTGTTATGGTAGCTGTTGCTGTAGCAGCTGGTGTTGTGTGTCTGACTTGTGTTTCGATTGTATGTTTCAAATTAGGCAATGAAATTACAAGATAAGAGGCATGGCATCTTAGTCCTCTAGACAGGTAATGAATGAGTGGTACCAAGGGTGTCACATGATAAAATGATGTCCGCAGTGCTTAGTGACGGATACCACTTACTATAAGGTGGGCTGTAAGCTTATTTGCCATTCTAACTACATAAATAAAACAGTGCCCAACGGACTCTGGCAATATACTCTTGTGCTATCTTGGTGTCTATAGTTAGGAGGAGTCTCATAGCAGGACACAAAAAAATAGTTAAATAACACACTAGTCTCGTGTAAAGGCGAAATCAACTTAATAGATGTGCCTACATGACTTAGCAACGCGTACATTCGACGGGGAGCCGAGCCGTGGACTGACTTTACACTCAACTTTTTAGATTGTGACATTTGCTCGCACTGGTTATTCACACGCAAATCGCGCGTTAAAGAACGTGTCGTGTAAAGGCATTTAATATATGAAGTCATCTTACTGGATTGTGATGGGGCGGTGGGTTGTTTGCTGCTCGATTTTGACTGATGTGGCCCTGACACAAGGTTGTTCAGAGATGCTAGACTTGAGAGTGATTGGGAGTGCATCGTCGACGGTGATGATGTCTTGGGAAAGCCATATGATGACCCTGCAAATGGAAATTAAATTAGCCGGATTGTACTGTATCTGTAAATCAGTGTACTGCTCGTTGAACAAAGTCAATGAATAAAAATTTAATTATCTATCGGTTTTTCTCGCAGGTTTTTAACTGGTAGATTTTCTGATATTTTATGACGGACTTTCAGGCTACCTGTCCTAATTTCATGTTCATCTTATCATCCTCCACTGGTGCCCCGATAGAGTAAACCTTTAGCTCAGCACCATTGCATTATCATCCAATAAAAAAATATATAATAATATAATCTCAGGACAATTCACACAGCGCCATCTAGACCCAAGTTTTTTTTTTTTATTGGGTTGTTTCCTATTGTCAGATGTGTAGCACCTGTAGCACTGCGACCTACATAGATCTATTGTGCTCGCCCTTTTCAGAGTTCGCTACCTAGACCCGTCAGGGACAAGAATTGAAGGATATTCTTAGGAGCGATCGTTTTTATCTCCTCGGGAAAGAGTGTAAACTTTCCAAAGGAGATATTTCGTTTATGCATGAGTGGGCTACAACCACATAGGATGTGAAGCGGCGTTTCCTCTTCAGTTTGGCAGAATCTGCAGATACTTGTCGTGCATAGGCCTAGCATAGCCATATGCTTGTTCAATTTGCAGTGTCCTGTGAGGGCCCTAGTCATCATGCATATGTTGTTTTTACTCAATAGCAGTAATCTATTGGAGTATTTGGTCGAGAAGCCTAAGATCTAGACCCAAGTTAAGCTAGCTAAAGCTTGTGTTATGGGTACTAGACAACTGATACAAATACATAGATTTTTTTTCGTAAATACATACATATTATACATTGAAAACACCCACACCAATACAAACAATCCAAATGTTGGCCTAGTGCGAAGAATCAAACCTGCGACCATCGGAACCGCATCGCTTTATAAGATAAACCGCTAGACCACCGAGGCCGTCAATATAACCTAGAATTCAGGCTACACAGCCTCATGACGGCATTTATTCAGGAATGGCAACGCATGACGGTTATAGCTGGCCAGTCAGTTTGTTCAGCATTCCAGTAATATAAAAATAATAAATATAGAAGAATGGCCATAGATTTTGTTAAAATATTTTGTATTGTTAGACTCTATTTTCCGCATTTAGCCTGTTATTTGGGCTGGTCTGCGTGATATGTATGCTTTATAAATACTTATTATTAATGAAACATGCATTAGCAATAAAGCTTACTAAACTCTAGAAAATGTCAACTAAGATTTAGAAGCAAATTATATACATTTGTATACAAATGCTTGATATTTCAGTGGCTTGAAAGGTCATGCCGTTCACGGTATAGAATCTTAAACATCACATCTCAGACTTAACCCATTGTTAGCAATGTACACGCGATAAATATATGCCTCATGATTTTGCCACGATGGGCTGGCTGACCTAACCTAAACTTCATGTTATCTTTCCTACTGGTGCCCCACCAGCGTAAACAGTTAAATCAGGCGGGTGCACTATTCTATTATCATCCTTTAAAAGCTTTACAAACACTTGAATCGAATGCGCAGGGCAATCCAAACTTTCGGAACAACTTATAAAGCAACTGAAAGTCAACTCCAAATTGACGATCAGGCCTTTTATCTAAGACTAGGTACTGCAAAGGTTCGAACCACGGATCAGGGCGTCGTAATTTAATTTAATGGTATAGGTGATTGATGGAACACAGTATTAACATATGGTAAATTATGAAAGCGCTCAACCATCTAGTTGTGTGTAGTGAAATATGAATTCTATTATCTATCCAATTAAATCAAGTTTCGAATGAAGTTTAGACCATGCAAAACAGAATAGAGATGAAAGAGAGAGAAAGTGATACGTGCCCCACTCACTCATGTTGGGTTGAGAACTCGAAGTGCTTGTTGAGGGGCTCTTGTCTTTTGTCGATGCACTTGAGGATGTACTGCTTCTCCCTGATCTGGAATACATGAAAAATAATTAATTTTTTGTACTACGTTAGTGGCCAACAAGCATACGGCCCATATGATTGTAAACAGTTATCGTAGACTATGGACGCTTGGAGCCCCAGGAGTGTTACGTGCGAGTTGCCGATCCTTAAGAAACCTTAATATACCCTTTTTAAAAAATCACATACGTCGTCTCATGAGAAAAATTCGGCAGGTAGTTCATCCACAATCTAAGTGTACGCGCGAGGAAGCTCCTCTGAAACCGCACTGTCCACTTAGGAACTTAACTGTACACAAAAATTACAAACTTATGAACTATATACATATTCACTATATAATATCTACCTGTCATTCCGACTAGGTTGTTTCCCCGGTTTCGGTGGTTGTTTCAAACCGGTGGCAGATAAAGCGGAGAGGGCGGAGTAAGGGTCCCCCAGCGGTGGAAAATTCAGGCCGGAAGCTTGGAGGCGAGCGAGGTAATCCTGAGCTGCTAGATGGGAAGCCATAGACCACCATGCCGCACCTGATGAAAGAAATCATTAATGAGTGTCAGACATTGTAAAAAGCAGTCTGCGTGGTATCTGTCACATTTATTTCAGTCGCAAACAGATTGCTGTGTAATGTTTCCGTTGAAGAGTGAAATTGGGCAGTAAAATGTGTTCATGCTCATCTTTTAAGCCTTCAGCCTTAATAAAACTGGTAAGTAATGATATGGTATCAGGTACTGGTTGTATTCATCATCTTAATTGTAAATATGTATATAATACTAGCTGACCCGGAAAATGTTGTTTTGCCTTATACATTAAAATCGATATTAAAAAATAGGGGTTGGTGGTGACATAAGGGTGAAAATTTAGGGTTTTTTTTCAATGCTAAATCATAATAATAAAAATTGTCGAAACAATGAAACAAAAAATTTTGGGGTGAGGCACCCTTAACACTTTATAAACCTATTCTCAGATCTACTGGACATGCATATAAAATTTCTTCAAAATCGGTCAAGCTGTTTCGAAGGAGTACAAATATGAAACCTGTGACACGAGAATTTTATATATTAGATGTATGTGTATGTAATTAGTGTAGTATCCATAACACGAAGCTCTGCTTACCCGTGAGATTAAATAGTGCTGTGTTAATTATCTATTTCTATTCTAGTTATTTATTTATTTAATATTATCTATATTCATATTTTAAATGTGAAACTGTCAATACGTCTGCCTGAATGTATCTCAATGAAATTTGAAGGGAAGGAAGTAAGTATTGCACAACGAGAATATTATAGGCTTATCTAAAAAAATACGTATCCACAGTTTAGTACACATCGAAGTAAGGTAATGTATTAATATTAGTATTAGTTACTTTTGTTTTATTAATCCTTACTGATATCATAAATGCGAATATAACTGTCTGTCTGTCTGCCTCGCTTTCACGCCAAAACTACTGAACCGATTTATATGAAATTTGGTACAGATAGTCTAGATCCAGAGAAAGGATATAGGCTACATATATTTATATATATTTTCTCTTTATTTGGACTATAACACGCGGACGAAGGCATTATATATAGCGTCTTTATATTGTACGATTGAACGTTGCAATAAATTCAGGATATCTTGTTTATCATATGTGAATCTAAATATACATTAATGATTAATTCAACGAGAAATGAAAAACAACAGATGTATTGAATCACACCGTTGTGATTGACAGTGCATTAATATAAGTTGTGCTTCAAGATACAAATACTGCTGACATCATAAAGAAGAATTATTTTATTTTTCGTACACTTGTTTACTTATCATTACATAGTATAAAACAAAGTCGCTGTCGCTGTCTGTCCGTTCTATATATGCTTAAATCTTTATAATTACAACGGAATTTGAAGTGTTTTTTCTAATAGATAGAGTGATGCAAGAGGAAGGTTTATATATACATATAATACATGTATACATGCTCGAAGCCGGGGCGAGTAACTAGTAGAATATAAAAAATACTTAGACAGTCGCATATATTCGAGCCGCCAAACAACTTGCTTTGTAAGCTGTGTTTCGGCTGTAATGAACATATTTGGGAGTGAAATTAAAAATCAAATCAAATCAAAAATGATCATCATTTACTCATGTAGGACTTTGTAGCTGCTAATGAACGACAATTTTTTTGTATTATATTTTTTTCCCTACCGCCCAGTTCAGTATACAGATTGAGAAAAACTGACAAGAAACTAATGTTTTTTTTAAAGCCAGTTGATTTACTTTCTTTACTTTATGTAGGTGTCTATTAAATCGTTTGTACTTATTATGCTTTTTTTTTTATCTCAGGACAATTCACACAGCGCCATCTAGAGCCACGTTAAGCTACCTAAAGCTTGTGTTATGGGTACTAGATAACTGATACAAGTACATAGATTTTTTTTTTTCGTAAATACATACATATTATACATGGAAAACACCCAGACCGATACAAACAATCATATTCATGAATACAAATGTTTGTGCCGTGCGAGGAATCGAACCCGCGACCATCGGACGTAAAGCGGTGTGCTAGACCGCTATACCGCCGAGGTCGTCAATGTCTAACATTAAATGAAAATCTCGTTCATGAACTACCACTGCCATGCACGTTTGTCATTCAAGCATTCGTTTCGTGTGGCTTTACTCAATAAATATGATTTAACAGATATTTTGAATTTAATTAAAGGTAATTCCAGTATATCCTTCGGTAGCTTATTATAATTTTTTCCCATAAAAGATTGACTTTTCTAAACGATACTTACGATACAGGATAAGGGGAATGACATTTTACTTTTCCGGAATGACAACGCACGAGGGATAATATGACAATGTGACATCCGTAGTGCTGTTCATGTGTGTACTTATATAGGCAACCTAAATTACTAATTACCATCAGATGAGCCATCAAGTTGTTTACCATTCTAACTGCTCAAAAGAAAATATATGCTGCGAGGTTAACAGATGAAATTATATTTTATAGCATAAAATGAGGTATATCGGATGTAGTATTTTAAATCATTATTTTTAATTATACCTTATAATTTTTTAATAATTTTCTTTTACCTTAAAATAAGAAGATTATACTTACTGGCAGCTGGATGTAGTCCGAGGGACGCCGCCTGGTTGGCAGCCACCCCGAGGGTTGTCGGTGGCGGGTACCGCCCGCTGAAGCCGAACAGGGCCTGCGCTTGCGCCTGAGCTTGGGCAGCCGCCGCCCCGCCGCCCGCGCTGCCATCTCGACCCCAGTATGCTGGAAACAATATATTCTCTTGTTATTTTTCATTCATAAGATAACAATCGGTATGAAGCTTCACTTTTTTTAGATCATTTAAAGATGAATAATACCTTTATACATATTTTTGGGGTAACTTGAACTTGGCGCACGCAACGGTAGCCAATATATATTTTTCCCCGTTTTTCAAGGTTTTCACTAATGCTAATCCTTCTATTGGTTGTAACGTAATGTTATATAGCCTTACTCGACAAATAAACTATCTAACACAAAAATAATTTTATATTCGAACCAGTAGTTCCTGAGATTTCCGCGTTCAAATAAACAAACAAACTCTTTAGCTTTATATTAGTATAGTATATATATATATAAATAACAATAATAACTTTAAATTGTAATTTGGTAATTATATAAAGAAAATATTATTATTAATCGTCACGACGGGAGGTCGTCTCCAGCGTGGAGGACGTATTCGCAAGTTATTTCGGCACATTCACACAGAGCATGTTATAAATAGCCCCATCGATTCCCTAATCCCTACATAAACATCTCACACCAATCACTCACAGTTTCAATAGAATTTCGAATTAATTTTCAACTCTACTACTTTCTAATAAGATTCATGCTCAACCAACTGTATGTAGCAGAAACGATCGATCGAGAATAATTTAAACTTTATTCCTTTGTGATAAGATGTATCACATTAGGTGAACCGTAAAGATCGCAGGTCGGTGACCTAGGACGGGTTTACACGGCAGATTACCACGCGATCAACTTGGGTACTAGAGATTCGTAATCATTGTCATCATGTGTAACAATTTTATTATGACAAATTTATAATTGTAATCCCACGACCTCGGTGGTCTAGCGGTTTAGCACACCGTTTTACTTCCAACGGACACGGGTTCGATTCCTCGCACGGCACAAACATTTGTAATCAAAAAGTATGATTGTTTGTGTCGGCTTAGGTGTTTTCTATATATAATATATATTTTACAAAATATCTATGTATTTCTATCAGTTATCTAGTACCCATAACACAGGCTTCAACTAGCTTAACTCTAGTCTAGATGGCGCTGTGTGAATTGTCTTGCAATAATAATAATAATCGTTTAGCTAATTCGCGACGCTGTGACATCACGGTACATGAGAGCGTGTAATATTCAAATATGAAGACCAAAGAAATAGATACTGCATGGATGCTGTATCTATTTCTTTGGTCTTCATATTCATAGAGTTCCCATTCATTCATAGAGTATGAATTCGTATGGACTAATTCATACTCTATGAATGAAAGGGAAGACAAGGGCCTATTTCTAGGATATAATGTACCACGTCACGTGGAAACGTCCCCCTAGCAAACATCATTATTAATTCCTGGTTAAATCAGTCAGGTATATTGCTATAATTGACTTCATGCTCATTCTCAGCCTCCATTGCTTTGCAGCATCCTCTATTGCTAGCCAGTCCCAGCCAGCATAGCAAACTGGATACACCATTTTATAATCAACCATTAGAAGAATTCTCTGTATGTATGCAGACGGATGCTCCATTTCTATGCTAGCTGACATACCTAGATTTAATATTTAAGTTGCTATTATGTTATTGACAAAGGTTTACTGTAATGTTACAATTATGTTATCCTACACAATTTGTATTGTTTTGGATGAATAAATAAATAAATAAATTTCATTATCACGTATTAAAAAAAATCTATGTATGTATATATTTACAATTAAAATGTATATCGGTTATCTAGTACCAATAACATAAGCTATGCTTAACTTGGGACTAGATCACGCTATGCGGGGTTATTATTACGAGTACTTATCTCAAAATAAAGAAACGCACGAAATGCGGGTAACAAGACAGACATACGATCGCATTTATACGTATAATATTAGCATAGATTTGAATTATCATTCGTCCAATCTTTGTCTAATGACTCAGTTAGATGACTCATTAGGCCATTACAGAATGCGAGTGAAATATCTAACGGTAACAAAAGTCATTTTGGCATGGAAATCCGGTTTTTTCGCGAGCAATAGCATGCCAAGTTGTGAAATAGGTAGACCTAAGTCGTTGCGCCCCTAAACTTGTCCTTGGTCGTGACAATGTTTTTTTGTCATCGAATAAATTTAGGTCATCAGTAGTAGTCATATATTGTGCTAAACTGCACCAAGATATCGTCGTATTCTTGAGTCATAGTAATTTAATAATAATTAGGTAAAGATGTTTGAATATATTACCCCAGTAGAACGAGTGATATAATAATAATACCTCTCAACAATTAACACAACGCCATCTAGTCCCAATGTAAGCAGAGATTGTATTATGGGTACTAGACAACTGATATAAATATTCAGATATTTTTTTTGTAAATATATACATAATATACAAAGAACAATCATGTCTGTATCCTGCAAAGAATCAAACCCGCGACCATCGGAAGTGTGCTAAACCGCTAGTCCACCGAGGGCAGCGTATATATGGGACAGGGTACCGTTAAGTAGCTTGCCTTCCAGTGACGTAAAACAATATTGGTTAGTATTACCACAGATAATGTATTACAAACTCACCTCCAAAGAGTCCAGCCGCGTCGAGCAACCCGTCCGGCGGTGGTTTACCTCCCCCCTCGCCGCCCTCGCCGTTCTCCTTCTCCATACCCTGCCTGGTAAGAAAATTACTTGGTAAATAATTGGTAGATAAAAACCATCGCTCCTAAGAATATCCTTCAATTCTTCTCTCTGACGGGCCTAGGCAGCGAACTCTAAAAAAGGGCCAATACAATATTTCTATGCAGCTTGCAATGGTACAGGTTCTTTTAGCATCGAGTTAGCCCAAACCCATAAATATATACACGTAAGTACATACCCGGCCAATCCAACAACACACTGAGAAAGCTAAACAAAGTAGGGATGTAGGGATCACTTAAAAATAAAATGTACAGACCATAACTACTAGATAATACAATATAGCTTTCCATAGATGAATTTAAAAATTCATTCAAGTAGTAATAAAATTGTATTTTGAAATTATTCATTGTAAAAAAATATTTGCATACATAGAAGGTTGATATTTTGAAATACATTACGTTAGTTGTCCACAGTTTCACTACTAAAATTTTGTGAAGGAAACATAATTTAATGTTACATCAAAGGTTGTTAAAAATAAATAGAACGATAGCAGTAATCTGCTATTAACTCCTAAATAAAAAAACATTTGCTAATTTAAATTTAATTATTGCGTAGTAGCAAATTTTACCAAATTACTATTTTAATTTCAAAAACTGATTATCTTGGTATGGAAATATCATGCGGAGGGATGTGGACCACGACTAAAAACAGGTTTTTATTATCGAAATGGATGTAAAGGAGAGTTTGAACTAAGAAAAGATGAATGGACTATCTGATAGACGATATGCATAAAAGGAGAGTAAGCTCAGATACGAAAAACTAAAACCAAAACTACCGAGAGTTACAAAAAGTAGCAGTAAATTTAGAGTACTTAACACCATTATTGAAAAGAAATAGCAGAGAGATCTGCTTTTAAACCTTTTATAAAAAGAATTTATGATATTTTAGCATAGTGTATTGTTTTGTAACAAATTTTCTAAATTGTTATTTTAATTCCAAAATTACGGAGTGTTACCTACTACAATGGGGTGGCACAAAGAGGGTGGCATGAATGAAGTTAGTCAACACAAACACCCTTTGCAACGGAACGCTCCCACGCATTGAATGGCTGACTAAAATATGATCAAATTTGCTTTTACTTTACGCTATTATAGTCTAATAAATAATTACGTGAATAATATTCAGAATGAAATTTTGATTTATTTCGAATAAAGAAGAAATTTCTTTTTTAATATTTTCTCTTTCTTTTTACCATATCATCTTTCACACAGTTCATCCAGGCATCAGAATGACACAGGCTATATTTTATATTTAAATTTATATACTTAAATTTAACACGGGCACACAATTTTTTATATACAGTTATTATTCAAAAATTCTCAATTGTATTTGACTAAAATTGATAGGTATACTAATTTTCCACGCATCATTGGAGATTTACATATGCAAAAAATAACGTACGTTTCCAATTTCAAATATTAAATGTTCTGCACATAACTGTAAAATTGTATAATAGATTAGTTTTTTTAGTTTAGTTTTAGAATTGTTATTACATAATTCAAAACCTACAAGGGCTTTTAAGATAAAATTAATGTTATTTACTACGCGAGTAATTTACATTCGTACGTAAGCATCTTAAATCAGACGGACATGTGTTGTGTAATATAATTTATTATGTCAATTTAATAAATAACGTTACACAAGTATGGGACGAAATGCCGTCAATATTGACGGCTATGGTGGAAGAGATTAATGAGAATGTCATTAAAATTTTATGGAGTTTATTTATTAACTGGCGACCAGTACCAGTTTTGCACGAATGTATTACAAATCTTTGAATTTCTCGGCTTGTTCTATACTATAACACGCATATATCTATATATAACTCAAAGGTGACTGACGTAGTAATCTATCAACGCACAGCCCAAACCACTGGACGGATCGGGCTGAAATTTGGCATGCAGGTAGATGTTATGATGTAGGCATCCGCTAAGAAAGGATTTTGATTAATTCTACCCCCAAGGGGATAAAATAGGGGATGAAAGTTTATATGAAACTTTGTCAATTTTAAACTGATCGGGCTGAGATTTTGCATGCATAAAGCTACTATAACGTAGGCATCCCCTAAGAAAGGATTTTGATAAATTCCACCCCTAAGGGGATAAATTAACGTGAGCGAAGCCGCGGGCAAAAGCTAGTTATATATATATAAACCTCTTGAATCACGCTATCTATTGGTAAAAACTGCATTAATATCTGTTGCGTAAATTAAAAAGTATAAGCGAACAGACAGTGGTGGTGACTTAAATCTTATACTATGTAAATAAATATGAGTTGTTATTCGTAATATTAAATAGTAATTTGTAATATAAAGTGGAGCATTTACGGTGTGACTTCAGCCATCTATCTGTCACACACAGTAGCCTACTCCAGCATATGCTATGCTATACATATGCTATATTTACCAATATTGTTTAGATTTACATATATAATGAAAGAGAGATTCTGTAGAACCACGTGTTGATTGTATTAGTGTATTTTAATCACCAAAAAACAGCCCTCTTTCTCTCGTTTGTATTGTATATTTATTTTATATACTAACAATTGTTTTCCTTACAGTATGAGGTCTGACAATTCCTTGGAGTAAGATACGTAAAAACGATGAAAAACTTTTTTTTTTTAAAAAAACAAAACTGAAATTAAGAAAAATATTTTTTTTCTCTATCATCATGTACTCTGATTTCATTCAAAGTACAAGTACACACAAGGATAATGCAATAAGGGGCACCACCCCGCCCGCGATTCACATTTGTCCCCCCCCCCCTGTACACCCCCACCCCTCCGACACTCACAGCTGATAGGGGGCCGCCTCAGGCTGGCGGTAGTACTACGTACCGTATTTGAATATTACTTCCATTTATAGACTTAAATCGAAATTACGTTATAATTAGACCTAAATTTTATTTTGGGTTTTTTTTTAATTCTAAAATGAAAAATAGGTACTATAAAGAAAATGAACATATTAAGAGTACTCTTGTTAGTAATGTGCACTAGTAACTCCAATGCTAGCAATGTATCACGTCAGGTTGACCACACCGCGGTTTACCCCGGAAACCATCATGATAATTTGCCACGTGTGGCTAATTAACCTGACTACAGGCTCATCCTATCACTTTCCACACCAACCGTTGAACGCAAGCAACATAATCATATATAAAAAATACAAAGGTTCGCTTCACTACCCAGATGCACTAAAGAGAGAGAAAGAGACATTAATAAAGAGAGAGAAAGAGAAAGCAGATTTTGTTATGAGAAAACTAAAATCTGGAACCACTGCACCAATTTGACTAATTCTTCCACTGGTTGAAAGGTACATTATAGCTGTGATATTTTATTATGTGAAACAAAGCTGTAAGCACGGACGAAGCCAGGACGGGCTACTAGTATCCAACATGAAAGAAGAACACCTCATACCATTATTAGAGCCCACACAGAATAGAATAACGGTTTCTCCATAAAATTTCTCTTTATACGAAAACCAAATTGAGTTCAATTAACCGTGCGCATGACGATTTCGTCAATGAGATTTCAACTGATTCCAGTTGAAATCTCGCATTGCAATGATGTTCTACATGTAGATGTGACACTATTGTCTTATACAAATTAAAGTTCTACGTCTATCTACATCTTTCATACACTTACTTATGGAGTACGCAAAATTCTCTTTATATGCATACCAAATTAGGTTTAATTAACCGTGCGTATGACTATTGTCTTAATCAAATTAAATTTCTGTATATCTATCTATATCTGTATCTCTCTTATAGAGTATGCAAAGACAACTCAATTTTGTTGATCTAGTATACAAATGCATTTAATCGACTGAAATACACTTTGTAAAAAAGTAACAAGGGTACCTATTTCAGCCGAGCAACAGCAAGCCTTGTAATTATGGAAGGATAGATGTTTGTTACTCTTTCACGCAAAATCTACCGATTGGATTTTAATGAAACTTTACAATAACACAACTTATACATCAGAATAACAAATAGGCTATAAATTTCACGCGGTTGAAACCATATGTACAAATAGTATTATAAAATTTTAAAATAATATAATAAAAACCATCAAGTAGTTGGCTACATACACAACAATAGAAATCATAAATATTAATATTTAGATATATCTTAATCCATCTATGACATAAATAATATAACGTAAAGAATGTACCTACATTCATTATAATACAATATGAACGTACACATTATGTAAATTGAATACCAATTAACATAATTTACGTAGGTATTTTGTGTTACACCTACTCATTAACTTAATATTTATACTTTCTAATATGAAGATTTTAAATGTTTTATTAAATGACCATCACTATTCATAGTTTGCTAATTAAAACTTTTAATAATACTTTTTTATGTAACTGGAATATCAAACTAACGACCGATCTAATGGTAGGTGGCAACCTGTGTGTACTTGTGTACATATATACTTAGGATGGGTTATATAATAATAATAACCCACCACACAGCACCATCTAGTCCCAAGTTCAGCAAAGCTTGTGTTATGGATACTAAAGCACCGATAGATACTTAGATTTTTTTCTTGTAAATACATATACAATATACATAGAAAACACCCAGACCATTACAAACATGAATATAAATGTGTGTACAGTGCGAGGAATCGAATTCACGACCATCGCGTCTAAACCGCTTCACCACAGAGGCCGTCGAATATATGTTATATATATATATGAAAGCACCACGGACATCTTGACATCATGACACGTGGTATCACCCATACATTGCTATATTCTAGAGGATTATGATATCATATCTTCACACACCGCAAATTCAACCGTTACAAATTATTTTGCAAAACAATTGCTTGGCTGTTAAAATAGGCGACACAAAGGTATACACGCAGACGACTTTGTACAAAGTCTCGGTAAAACTAAATTCAGTAAACGATTACTTAAATAATATCATTGGGTATCACGAAAATAGACTTTAATCCCTAA